GCTCTTTCGTTTGAGCTCAAAAAAACATTCATATCTTGTCTGACATCTTTGCTACAAACTCGGGTCTTCAACTCGGGTTTTCAATTGAAGGCTTACGACTTACAATTAGAGGCAACGACTCTCTTATATTATTTTTTTATTCATATTTCTTTTCCTACTACCATTACGGTTTTATAAGCTCTCCATTTGTCTACCTTTGCCTCTCCCATTTCACTCTTCTAATCTTTATCTGCGTTCTCTCTTATATTATTTTATAGCAAATTTATTATGTACTACCGTAAAAAGCCGAATAGGCTATATGTGGCTTTAAATAAATAGTTTCATACATAAAAAATAAAACCTGACACAGGGGTTCCGTTTTCCCTCAAAATAAGAAACATTGGGTACTCAAATCAAGACCCCTGACATTCTTGAAATAAAAATCTTGAAGAAATTTTAGCCGAAAATTTCTAACAGTGAATAGTCACCGAGAATTTCATAGTTTTCAGTCATTTTCATTTTCGTGTTGACTTTCATTGAACATTGTACAAATTAAATTATTTCTCAATACCGGCATATCTAAAGACGTCATATAAATAGATTATAGACCGATATAGATAAATTTTGAGCGGGAATGAGAATATTCATGGAATTTCTCGCCAGAGAATTAGAAAGACCGAATTTTTCGATTTAAACACTCGTAAAAATTTCAGTGTTATACATAAGACTGTTGATTATTTGGATCCACACATCAATAATAATAGTTATTTTAGTGTTATATATAACACTTCAATTTTTTTAATGAATCAGCCAAAAATTCTACACGTGTCGGAATAAAAAACCGCAATTATCAACTCTCTAGTTACACTATTCTGATCTAAATGATTAAAATTTTTCAGTGGTTTCGTCTTACAAAGAACCCGTCGAAGGCTGGATAGACAATGTCTACGGTCCCACTGGAGCCCTAGTAGGCGTGGGGGCTGGCCTGATAAGAACCCTTCACATCGACAGAAACTGCACAGCCGAATTAGTTCCAGTTGATTATACCGTCAACGCTCTAATAGCAACTGCCTGGGATGTTGCAAACAATAAGTGAGTCCCCAAAACCCGCTGCAAAGGATAATATTGCAGGCACTGATCTCCAAACTGCTCATCAATCGGAAAAATAATAAAAGCATATCTGATGATAACTCTGACTCAAATCATTCAGAGAAAGTTTTCTTCTTTTCTTTACCTTCTAGTCTCATATAATAATCTACATTCTGGTCTTTACGTGGAGATTAAGCTAACTCTGTAATACTGAATACCGGTTCGCCGTTACGTCCGGACATAACTTCCCTCGTAATAATCCGAAAAACGTTGGTTCCCAAAAAATCTCAATCTCAACTGCTTCGCTGGTCTCATGAGTGTTTTGAAATAGAGAAAGTTCGTTGGAGCATCTTTGTCATGTTGTCATGGAAGTGAGAGAGTTATTGGTCCATTTCTTTTACTCAGGATTAGAAAAAAAACATAATTTCCACAAAACCAACTGGAAATTATGACATACCTTCGGTATTGTTAAACAAATCAAAGCAACCTTGGTTACTTATCGAAATTTGCTTTCCTCTCAATGAAACCACTCATCACGATTATCTTTCTATTATTAGGAACGAAGCTGCCGATCCCCCGATCTACAATTACCATTCGTCGTGGAACAACAGAGTGACTTGGGGAGATTACAACGATGTCGCCTTGAAACATGGGAAGAAAATGCCAAGTGTCAGGAGTATTTGGTGCTACACCCTCACAATAGCCAGCAATCCACTTATGTATTACATATACAGTGTGTTACTTCACATTTTGCCAGCGCTACTCGTGGACTTTGGGCTTTTTATCATCGGCCAAAAGCCCAGGTAATGAAAATAAAATGGTGAAAGCAGATGAATAACAAGGAAATTACAAATTTCACTTTGCAAATCTACATCTGAGTCGAAAAGCTTAGTTCAACTCAGTGACATGGTCGTTGTGTTTGTTTTTTTGGGTGCGGAGGGCAAAAGAAACACAATGCAGACGCCTCTAAGAATGATTTTCCAACCACGGAGGACTCCTAGACTTCACTGGACAATGTTATCATACCTCTGCAGTCATACTCGTGTGCTTGAGGATGAAAATTAGAATGTCTAGAAATTCTGTCCACAAACTGCAGTTTTGATTTCCAACAATCGTCGAATTTTCCATAGTTTTTACATCTAGAAAAGTCTAATTGACAAAAATTTTCTCAATCGCAAGTATTGATTATTTTTCCAAAAGGTCCGCAAGTTGAAGTCCAACGACTAAAAATTTTTCGAATCTATAAAGAACTTCGAAGACTTCGACGAACAGCAAGTGCATTTTAGTATTGGCCTATTTCAGTATTTGCCTATTTACCTATTTTCGTTGAGCGGAAACCGATCTATTTTTTCGACTCAAGATGTAATTTATCTCTTCATCACAGAATATCATCCTCAGTCAACTCCTAATTACTTGCTTTGTTTCAGAGCAATCAAAATATACAAAAAAATCCACAAATTCTCAGCAGTGACCACCTACTTCAGCACCCGAATGTGGAAATTTTCAAATGATAATACAAGAGGGTTGTGGGAGAATTTAACTCCCGAAGATAAAAAATTATTTCACTTCTCGATGTTGGATTTCGACTGGAATGATTTCCTCCACAAGTGTGTTGTGGGGCTGAGGTTCTACACGTTCAAAGACGATCCCAGTACAATTCCAGTCGCGAGGAAACGCATGGCAAGGTATGAAGAACATTCTCACAATAATTTCCCAGGATGAAACAGGAATAAAATCAGTGTAATGAACTGTTTCATTGTAGATTCCTAATCCTGCACAAAGCGATAAAGTACGGATTCTTCGGACTCGTCTGTTGGCTGCTGTATGGCATCCTAGCGCTCGTCTTCGGCTGGAGCTCGACGAGTTCATTCTCAACAATATCGGAAAGCATCACGATACGATAAATCCAAATAATTAATATTACACTTCATCATTTGCTCATCAGAATGTAATAAAGAATACTCATCACATCACATATGGCTGCAGATTACTCGTATCGAGTGAGGTCCATAAAAAATATATCATCCATCTTTTCCCAAATATATTTCCACTCGCATGAACAAAGTGTCTAGTAAGATATGGGATATGGATTTTAAAGTTGAGAGTAGGGTAAAAACTCCAATGAATTTATGTGTCATTAAATGTTAAATGAATTTAAGCTCTTGAATAAAATAATATAATCAACTGATATCTCGTAATGTTTCTATGAATGACTAAAAAACCGCCGATCATGATTTTAGGACCTCGCTTTGTAGAAGATGGTTACAGAGAAAACGATTATTAGAGATTCGCGATTGTGGAAATCAGTGATTTTAAAAGTTAGAAATTCGCTGATGTTCACTAATTTCCAATTACATCGTCACTAATTTTCAGGAATCTATAACCAAATTTCAGTGATTATTTTTCTCATTCGGATTTCAGCCAATCAGAGCGCAGTATTTGAGGCTGTCAAACAGTTTTGTTTCGGAAATTTCTAAAAAATTTGCAGAAAAATCCTACAAAATTTGACACAATCGTTCCTAGGCTGGTAGCTTGAGGAAAATATCCGATTAATTTTGAAGCACTAGTGGTATTACTATTGATCAAATTTTCTGATAATCAGGATCCAAAAACGCCAAAAATAGGTAACCAGATTTCGAAAAATCAGCGGCATGTCCCTGAAAATCAAAACTTATTTTTCTTTTAATACTAAAAGTATCTTCCAACACATGATATGCGTCGCCTTCGACTCGAATTAAGTCACATTAGTCAATTAATATCTCTATCTCTCTAGTAACGTAATCTACTATTAGCTCCATTATCGATGAGGAAAGTAATCACAATTAGATTCTTTGGTTTAACCATTAGTATGTAACGAAAAGTGAAAACCGGTTTATTATTTTTTCCAAACCAGGAAGCATTGCATTGTTCTTTGTACCATCAATGTGATAATGCAATTCTATTAGTGGAATATTATAGCACATAAGAAACCATGACCCCACACGTTGAGCTACGTTTTCCGGATTCAGATATACGTCAAATCCAATGCATAAATATCATTCGCGTTTGAATATTTTTGATCATAAAATTTTTATTAGGCACATTTCAGAAATGGTTTTCCATAAATGTTTTATAATAACAACTGAAAAACAGGCAGTGAAGGAGAATTGACGTAAACCATTTTCCCACTTTACTATTGATTTGAATCAACTTCATCTTCTCTGATTGATTGTCATTCTAAATTAGTCATCTTTAGAATCACTGAGGGGGAGTGAAGATGTCTCTTATACACCCGTATAAGAGATGTACGCTACTGTTACAATGTCGCACTTCATATCAGCTATAGCTACATGCAGGTGTGCTAGAATCATTTTTATCGGCAATAATTTTCAATAAGTTTATGTGCGAGTAGTTTCAAACTCCGTGATTAATAGTTCTATGAATATTGTGTTATTCAGTATTTCGCTCGTCCATATTTCACTTCGCAAGCAGGATTGATAGGGACCAGGTAAGTCCACAAAAATATAAATCAGTAGCGGAGCGGTAAAACTGTTCAAGTAGATTTTGACTATTGATCAGTTTTCAATGGATTTCTCGGCATCTAAGGCAGATATCAAAATTTTTGTCTAAAACTTTTTTGTAGAGTGAATTGAGAACTATAAAAAAGATTCTTATGAAAATTTCGCTATCTCCCTTAGATTCGGAGATATTCCTCGAAAACTCGGCTAAGAATTAGGTCGACTTGAATTGTTTTAACGCTTCGCTACTAAAATGCAATAAGCGATTTCGTGATCCATACGCGGAGAAGAAAATTCAAACAAAAATTATAGAACAAGACTTAGAAATTTCTTGAAACTTCAGTCAGAATGTCATCTAAATTTTCAATGTTGTGATGTTTGATTCAATTTCAAATGACAACGTTCACTAAATTTCCCATGCATCTTAAAAATGAAAGAAAATCGGGGTTTTCATGTTAAAGAATCATTGATTTTTCAATGAAAACTTGAATTTTCAATCTCATAGTGAAAATTGAACATCACATAGAATTCAATTTTCAATAGATTGAAAAATCAGAGAAGTTATTGTCTGAATTTTCAAAATTTTCAAGGTTTTTACCGTATGGACCTGAAAATCGAGAATTACGTGAATATTCAAGAAATTAACTGATTCGTCAATGAAAAATTCTACAGAAATTTCATGTAACTTTGTCGTTGTTAAAAATATCAAGCTTTTTCACTTGAAATTTGAAGAGTAATTTTCTAACAGTGAATCTAGGTGATCGAGGTGTGAAATGGATTTTTAGAATTCTTATATGAAATAAAAAGGAGAAATGTGACGCATGGGATCAATTATTTCCTTTGTAAAGTAATTTTTCAGAAACAAACCGTAAAAATTGTGTGCTGTTAATGAAAAAGTACCGGAACGACAGGTCAATTCCACCGTACATTCAGCGAATTATTTTTCGTTATTTTCTTATTATACTGGTAAGTAAGTACTCGTCACTTTGCGAAATTCACAAAATTGAAGATGTTTAGTTAAAACTACAGATATGTTGTAAATGTATATGCTGTAAACTGTACTTAGAAGTAGGCAACTCAAACAACCTTTGGATCATCATGCTCCCAAAAATGACAGAATTCAAGATTAGAAAAAATACTAGAACTTCCTCCCTTTGAGTCGGGAAGCTGAAAAACCTTGTTTATGAGGTGGGAAACATTGTTCTCAATTCGAAAATTAATTTCCCGGGAAAAAACACTCTTGAGTTCCTGAAATATCTTCGCAAATGGAAAGGAATCTTCCTGCTCTTCTATTCTCCCATTGTTTATGCATTCTGTTGATATCTGAAATTCATGATATTCTTGATAATCTATGACAGTATTGCATCTATTAAAAGATGAATTGTCACTATTTTTAATTTATTCTTACTTAATCATAAATCACCGCCCATCAGAACAAAACAGATTATGAAAGATCTTCCGTTTGACAAATGAGATAAAAACAAGGCAATCAACAAACATCTGATTAATATGCAAACCAATTGTTTACATTCTTTTCAGACCACCATGGCGACTCCCATCCAGCAGTTCTATGCTGGGCAAAGTGTTTTCATCACAGGTACAGAATGCATCAAATGATTATTAAATTTTTAGTGAAAACTGCATTCATTCACGATTGAATTGATGCTGGCAATATTCAAATGTCACGTTGGATAAGCCTTTTATATATTCAATGATATTTTTGTAATACTCAAGGTGGAACCGGATTCCTCGGAAAGATCCTGATTGAAAAGCTGCTCCGATCATGTCCAGATATCTCATCGATTTATTTGCTAGTGAGGTTTAAGAAAGGGCAGAATGTGATGCAGCGAATGAACAGTTTATTTGAGGATCCTGTGAGTTTTGAATTACTCGAACAATTGCTTCATCATTTGAGATGATTGAGTAGATAGAAAAAAAACAAAGATTAGATGAATTCAAAGATCAAATTATCGACTTTATAATTGGGATGGACAAGACGAATTTTGACAGCTCTGACAGTTCAGGATTCAGAGAGTCAAAGAACAGAGTTGTGAACGTCTATTGCCATTGATATTTCGACAAAAGTAGCATAGAATAGTCTCAGGAAAATTATCTCGACCTACACTGAGAGAAAAATTCCCTAATATGTAGACACTGAGAGAAAAATTCCCTAATATGTAGTTAAGATGCCTGGGAGGATTGATCAATTGGAGAAAAATTACTTGTCTCAAGAAAATATGTTTCAGATATTAGATTTTTTTTTCTCATTGTACATATTCATCCGCATATTCATTGCAGGTCTTTCAACGCCTGAAGACCGAGGCGCCAAAATTTCGCGACAAAGTTGTAGCGGTGGCTGGTGACTTTGCCTTACCAGCTCTGGGATTATCCCCTGTCGACCAAGATTTACTTGTTCGTAATATTACAATTGTTTTCAATATCGCAGCGACTGTGCGATTCAACGAGAAAATTAAGGAAGCCGTCACCGTAAATATCAAAGGGCCGAGGGAGGTGCTCATCCTCTGCCGAAGCATGACTAACCTCAGAGTAAATAGACACGATTTGCTATCTGTGATTAACCACCGCCGATCAATGCTACTATTTTTAAACAATACAATTACTCCAGGCTGTGATACACGTCTCCACCGCCTACAGCAACTGTATCAGGCCCGACATCGAGGAGAAGTTTTATCCTTCACCTATCTCTGCGGATGGTATCATGAAACTGGTGGACAGTGTTGATGAAAGTAAACTGGAAGACATGACACCAAGTTTACTAGGAAATTATCCGAATAGTTATACGTTCACCAAACAAATTGCGGAGCAGTTAGTGCAGCTGTGCGGAAGAGATTTGCCTATTGGAATATATCGTCCGGCAGTTGGTAATTTTTCATTATTTCTTAACCCCTCACGTACGGGGCCAATACATGGTATCGACCCATGCGAATGTGAACGCTTGTTTTCAAAATTGATTATTTCCAAATCTATGAAGAATAACTGGATCAGACAAACAAAATTGGAAACCGGAATACTATAGCTTCAATTAGATACCGGTTTCATAATTTTTCATACATTAAAAATAATCGAATTTGAGTTGTACTCAGCACACACTACGCTTGGTAACAGAAGGGCCCCGTCCGTGAGGGGTTAATATACAATCACCAACAGAAATTACGTTTTCGTCAAATTAAGAATAGTGTTCTTGAATAATTCCTGCTGGAGAGTGTGATCGTAATGAATTTTCCATTTTAGGACGGTCTCCATTTTTATCGGAAGATTAACAGAATCGCATTTCGAATCCCGTAATTTTATGATTTGAAAATTTCCAGTGGTTTCGAGTTATAAAGAACCCATCGAGGGCTGGACAGATAACGTCTACGGTGCTACTGGAGTCATAGTTGGCAGTGCGAGTGGTCTGCTAAGAACCTTGCACTACGACATAAATTCTACAGCTGAATTGGTTCCAGTTGATTACACTGTCAATGGTCTAATAGCAACTGCCTGGGATGTTGCGAATAACAAGTGAGTCTCCAAAAGCGAATCGGGTGTATTATTTTGCCACTTTAGAAAGAAAATTTTCAATTCGCGAGAAAGATCACCAACTACACCGATAGAAAGGATTAGTTATTGTTAACAAATGGATTTGGTTGGAGGCTACCTGCAGAACAATGGTTTATTTTAATTAAATAACTTTTATTAGAATCAACTAAATCGTTTATTTAATTCTAATAGAGGATCTGTTTGATTCAAAGTTTATTTAATTCAAATAAACCATTTTTCTGGGTGTAGGATCTATTCGGTATCACCAAATGTTCATTCGTTAATAGTTAACAAATGCATATTTGAGGAGCCTTCTTTCACTCGACATTCACCTTTCAAATGAACCATTCGTTAACTATTAACGAATATTTATTTGGTCATATTCAACTTTACCATTTGTTGATAGTTAACGAATCTCGTTTAGAATAAATGAATCATTCTATCCGCATATGGAATACTGATTTGCCTCTACGTCCGGACTTGCTTCGTAAACATGCGATATTGATATATTCTGTGCAAACAAGCAAACTCAAAACAAGGATTAAATAGCTACATTGTTGCAGAGAGAGAAATGTTCAGTAAAAATTACGGAACTCACAATTCGCTCACCGATTACGGAATCTAGTCAGAAAATTTAAGTGACGGTATCGTAATTTTTCACAGGAGATTCAGATAAAAATTACGAAACGCTCTGGAAAAATTCCGTGACAGTTCCGTAAAATTTCCTATAACCACATTTCGCTCCGGAATTACGGAAAAGATACGTAATTTTTATTGAATATTTCTCTCCGTGTGGTGGGATTTGTATGAATGGCTCATCGAGTTTGCGTTCTTTTGCCATTTTAGCTATTCAGTACTCAAATACAAGACTTTGAAGTTTTGAAATTTCATTCCGTTAGAAATCTAGTGAACTCTAATGAATGTTGAATGAGCAACTGATAAGACCCATAATTAATTGAACCATCTTATTATTCTTCTTTAAAAATTTTGTATATTTAAATGAAACAATTCCCATTCTCACGATCGGAAAAGTATTTTGTTCATTCAAACAACATTTACTTGTTGCAATGTATTTCTCTGTCAGTACAATTATTCTTGACGACCATTTTTCTACTGTTAGGAACAAAGCTGTCGACCCACCAATCTATAACTACCATTCCGCGTGGAACAACAAATTGACGTGGGGAGATTATCATGCTACTGCCCTGAAATATCTAAAACAAATGCCAAGTGTCAAGAGCCATTGGTGTTACTCGACAACAGTAGCCAGCACTCCAGTTATATTTTACATATACAGTATGATACTTCACATTTTGCCTGCTTTACTGGTGGATATTGGGCTTTCTATCATCGGCCGAAAGACCAGGTGATCAGAATGAAGCAGAAAAAAGTAAAATTTTTTATTTGCAGATTATTTATCAAATATTTAGGAAGGGAAACAAGCCCCACCGTACCTGTTTCTTTCACTGATTTTTACAACAGAATTTGCAAATTGTTTTATACCCATCTCATCCCAGCGACATTTTCTCCCAATCTGATCTCAATAATGTTCATTTCCACTTCAGAGCAATGAAAATGTACAGAAACATCCACACATTCTTAGACGCCATCAACTACTTCGATACACGCACGTGGAAGTTTTCGAATGAAAATACAAGAGGGCTGTGGGAGAATTTAACTCCTGAAGATAAACAATTATTCCCCTTCTCGATGATGGATTTTGACTGGAATGATTACCTTTACAAGTGCAGTGCTGGTCTGAGGCGTTATTGGTTTAAAGATGACCCCAGCACAATTCCAGTCGCGAAGAAACGCATGGCGAGGTATGAAGAACATCCTCACTTTAATATCTCTGTATGAAGAAGAAGAGAAATTAGGAAATTGGTTCATTACAGAATCCTCATCCTGCACAACGTGATAAAATACAGTTTCTTGGGCCTCGTCTGTTGGATACTTTACAGATTTTTCGCACTCGTCTACGGCTGGGGCTCGACGACAATAAGTGCCTTCGCGACAACATAAGAGAGCATTACAATACGATAAACACGAATGATTTATATCATACCCATCATTTTCTCATCTGAATGATAGAAAATTAATTAAAAAATTAATGACAAAACCACTGAATTCCACAATTTTGCATGCGAATGAATTTTACAATCGCGAATCACAATTAGGGATGGATCATTGAAAATCAGTGACATGTCCCTGAATATAAAAACGTGTTTTTTTCTGCTCTCATTAAAATTCCACACGATCAAAACTTTTCAGTAACAAACCATTGATTAGATTAATTTCCCCGTCTTATCTAAATCCCACAGGCCAAGTTCATTGACCACGAAAAAAAAATAGAATTATCCACTTTAAAAAAATGCAGTGGAACGATTTTTGAAGCCTCTATTCCGCTTATCAACCGCTTATTTCCGCTCAATGTAGTATGATGTCTATGTATATTGTTTTATGTACTGTGATTTTTTTAACAATTAAAAAAATGTAATATAAAAAAATTTTAGTTATTAATTATTATTGGCAATTATTCAACAGTTAAATTCTCATTGTGAAAAACTTTGCTGAAACCATTCATTTTTCCTGCGTTATAATTCAGATAAAAATGAATAAAAGTGAGAAACGGTAAGGTTTTACTATTCTGGCACCCATGGAAAACAATAAGCGCGCAAAGCGCGCGCCCTGATCTAGCCATTAGAAAAATCCGCACACCTTATCAATTCCTCTAAAGCCGAACCTGACGCGTGGATCCCAGCATGCGCGGAGAAAGAGATACAAGTGTCTCGCACGGAGATCTTTCAACTTTCACGTTGCGAAATAATATCCAAACATCTATGCGGCCTCTAGGCCAGTCGTCGTGACTCGGATAGTGGTTACATCATTTAACGATGGCTCCCGTCCTTCTTGCCCCGTACAATTCATTGTATAACAAATCATGTATATAATTCACCATACTTATTTTCTTGGCAATATTACGCAAACAGGCCGTTTTTTAACGAAAGATTTAGGCCATGCGTTTTGTACGAGACACATCGTCGCCCTCCCTTCCTCTCGCACACCTTATTTCTTGATGAAATGAGGGGGAGTCACCTGCGTATGTTCCAGTATACTTCAAGTACAATGTTTGCAGTACACGTATGGTGGACTGCCGTCACCAATGTATTTGTGATGTGATGCAATCGATTGATTATCACACATTCTTACGATCATGATTGTTTTGTTCTGATCTATCATGTCTAATGGTCGATGGTAATGTGATCTGATAATTTGTCTCTCATTCTTAATCACTCGTTATTATTCATGAATGCCATTCTTCCTTGGTATCTTTCCTAATTGGAGTTCATAATGCATTTATCATTAATTCATCCATTAAAAGACTGGAAAATGTTAATCATTTAATGATAGTTGTGTACGTGAAGGAAAAACCTGTTAAAATGTACCCCTAACAGTGGTTTGAATTTAGTAGAAATTACAGTGTTGTAAAAAATATTTACACTGAGAGGAAGAATTGATTCTGCCGAAAAATTAGATGCTCCGCTCCCCTGAAGAGATCTTTTGACGTGTTGAATCAATTTACTTATGAACAAGATGATAATTTTCGTAGTAGTAATTGTTCTCGTGAGACATTTATATATCTTTCGGGTAAATACATTCGTTCTATATAGTTCTTTTCTTGCTCTCGTTCTTTTTCTTATTATTTTCTTACTAGTTTACCACATACTGCTAATACCTATTGTAACAATGCACTGTGCACCCTCTTGCTACAAGAGATTCTCTGCAATATCTCATAAAACAATAAATATACATACATACATACATACATTCGTTCTATAGAGAATGTTTTGGCCGAGTCAAGTTTTTCCTCAGTGTATAATATAATATAATATAATATGCTATAATATATTGTATTGTTTTAATAAAAGAAAAACAATATTTTCGAATTCAGAAGATCAGCACATTTAAATCAAATGAACAATTCACCTGGGTCCGATGTATTTAATTTTTAACTAGTATTGAAGGGTAAGTTTGGATAGAAATTTTGCTTCGGGTTTCGTAATTCTGTCACGCAAATCATGTTGTTACTCTCTGTTTATAAATCTATGTCAATAATTGTATCCGCGGTTCTTTGGATCTTTCTGCCCACATGAAGTGTTGTCTAATGGACTCATTAAATATGCGTCGGAGATTTCTTCCTTCAAATTGCGAATTCGAGATTTTTTTCCCATCGAAATTTCAAGGATTACTGAGCAGGAAGCTTCTGACATCGTAATACATTTAAAAAAATGCATGGAGAAATGGGGGGTAAAACCTACACAACATTGCCTTTACGACGTATGACGGAGATAAATATCCATAATTTTTTAGAAATTGAATAAAATGTAAATACTCTAGTAGTATAAAATTGAAGTTGAAGTTCACTTATAGTGAACTTTAACTCGCGGAAAAATCTCAGAAAAGACGACGTGATTCATGCACGTAATCAAATTCATCGATTGTGATAAAAAGTTGTAAATTAAATAAATTGACGCTCTCGCAGCTTCGATTTCGCGGGCGCGGTAATAGGACAAAACAGCCTTGTCATAGTGGCGAATATGTCATCAATTAATCAACTCCTTTTCACCTGAAAGACTAGCCTTGAAACACTAATCGAGGGTCAAGTACTGCTAGTAAACAGGTTGAGCAATAATTCCGCGTGGAATTTGAATAAGCCACAGCAGATTGTAGAATGAAATCTCAAAAATCGTCGACCGGACTGCGTCAACTGTGTCGTCAATCAACGAGTGCTCAGCATAGTCATGATAATGGACAGACTTTGGTGTTTCTTTCATTTCGTCTCTCCTCCGTAACCCTCGAATTTGTTTAATTATGTCCCTCGCCTTGATGTCTCCTTGGACATCACCTCCCGCGAATTGGGAGGAGGGCGGAGGCTTTATTAGTATGGGATCCCTCTACCAGATATTCATTGACAATTTCGGGATGAACTCAGCCGGATTGTAAGATTCAAATCGCAATCTTTCCGGGTATTTGTATCGCGGTAATCGGCACGTGATTAATCCGAAATTTTTAAACAAATTTCGTGATTGTTGTCGAGTTATCTTGTTTTATTGGCATTTTGTGGGGATTCATTGTCGGATTTTGATGATTCATAGTTCATGGTGAGCACTTCATTCTAAAGTTCAGTGGGCGATTCATTCATTGTACCTCATCTGGATGGTACGACTCATTCTTCGACGCGCCCTTGTTGTGGAAAAATTAAGATAAATAAAACTGCGGAGTTATGATAAAACCTTCCACTAAGGTAAGTGTTTATGGAATATGGAATTAATATTTGTGAAAACCGTTGTTCACAGATTATTTATAATTGTATTCAGGGAGAGTATTAATTGCTTTTCGTATTTCACTGTTATAACAGTGAAACTAATATTTCCACTGAAATTTCAAGGAATTTTTTATAATTTCGTGGAAAAATACATCGAAACTGAACCGACTGTTATGATTAGGTGGGTGAGGTGTTGCTCCGGCGGACATCCAAGCTAAGCAGCGTTGAGCTGGGTTAGTACTTGGATGGGTGACCGCTTAGGAACACCTCGCTCGCACAAGAAATTGCGGGCGGTAGGTACGGTGTAGCGGCCTAGTGTCTCATCTAGTCAGTTTGACAGATGGATATATTAGGGCACTGCACAATCGGCCGGCTGTGCGACTGGGGTTTTACATGGTTTCCCGTGCAGTCCTAGCTCGAATGGGGCACAGCTAAGAGTAAGACGGCCATGATACCGCAGATAACAATGAGAGGAAAAAGAAAAAGAAAGGAGGGGAGGCAGGCTGGAGGAGGGGTTTCAAATCGAGAATTACTTCGATAAAACCAATGAAATAGAAAAAATTAATAAAATTAATTGAATTAATAACAGACAAGCGTAAGTGCTATGAGTTCCCTATGCAGATACGCTTATCTGTTACTAAGGTGTCCATACGATTCTGTACTTATGAACATGAAAAAAAAATCAAGAGCATTATTTTTGCCCCACCCTCCCCTGAACCAAGCGAGAAGGTCAAATGGAATCTTGACTTTCTGTGCCGGTAATACTGAGCGTGAAGTGAGGGGCGACACCATAGAAGAAGAGGGCTTCCCCAGTGGGTTAGTTAGCCCGCTATCCGAGAATCGTGTCTCAGTGTGTCCAGCAACCTCGGAGTGTGACCAACGCGATCGTTCCAAGTGTCCAAAATCCTCGTCATTCACTTTCGGTCGATTCGGTACGGTGTTGGGTCCTCCAGGCAGCTGGAGATTGCCCGAACCCCACGTCACAATTACCTCAACGCCAGTGTTTTACGCCATTCTCTCGTTTTATCATAATAATTCGTGATTCAGTGTTAATCGGAGGAATCATGTTACTGGAGAACCCTGTGCCTGGATATGTCAACGACGTTAGTAAATATTACTGGATTGGTACCATTATAATCGATAGACAAGATAATAGCGCCAACGGAGACGTTCAAAATCTCCCGCTATATCCCCGTATTTTATTGTCAATGTCTGCGATGCAATAATCGCTCGGAGGAATTCACTCACGTCGCACTTTTTCACTCGATCCAGTGAAAATAACTGGGTCAAGATTATGATTTTTATACGGGGAAAAAATATAGGAGTTTTTAGTGTACTAGCACCGGAAATTTTACTGCGAAATACAGGAAATTTTTTACTTTAATCGCGAGAAAAATTGAAGTATTTTAAATGTTCAGAGTTGGAGTTTCTTGAACATTCGATTCAGGGGGAAGACCATGGAATGTCAGATTTTAGCGAAAAGTCAAGGAAATTCCAAGTTTTTGAACAGTAGGAAAACGAGAATTACCCCAACTTCCTTGAAATTTCAATGAAAACATGAATATCGAGAACCAAGTTATGCTGAATTTTCAGTCAAATTGAAAATTTAAGAATGTATTAACCTGAATTTTTCTGATTTTTATTCCTTTTCATGAAATAATTCAACTGAAATTTACAATTTCATTGATTTTTACATAAAATTTCGAATTTTTAACGACGAAATTCTCCGATGTGATAAAAATTTTGAATGTATTCATCGGATCATTCTCTTCATCTTCAATACTCTCTCCCCCATTATCACAAAATATTTCCGATGTCAGCATCGGAAATTTAACTACGAAATACAGAAATTTTAGAGAAGGGCATTGAATTCGATTCAGGGGAAAAAATAAAAATTCAGAATTTTCGGGCAGTAGGTAAACGAGAATTCCCAAACTTCCTTGAAATTTCAATAAAAACATGACTCTCCAGTAGCAAATTACGCTTGATTTTCAGTTCACTAAAAATTCAAGACTTTATTCGCCCGAAATGTTCTGATTTCTATTCATTTTCATGGAATAATTCAACAGAAACATGACCTTCCACTGATTTTTCCAAAATATTTTGAATTTTCAATTACGAAATTCCCTGAAATTTCAACAGGTGTCTCCGAAATTTTTCCTCCTCTCGATCTTCAATACTCTCTTCCCAATTATCCCGAAACAATTCCAATAAATAAAAACCAATCGATTATTTCCGTTGTATCATAATTACGATTGCGGGAGCGTTTCTCCAAACGACCGGGCCCATTGCGGTCTCGACGAAAGTGAAACCGCCTCGGTTCATCGTACGAGAGTGATGCGTGAGAAAATGAATTTCATCTCCTCACAACAGCAAAAATCAATGTCTCCCATCGAAACAATTAACAAATCTCATTCAATACCGAGAAGATAACACAACAACGACTGATAAAAATCGAGAAAAAAAATTGTGACTAAGTAAAACACCAGTGAAAGTTATGAAAGTACAAACAAAGAAAAAATCTCGTACGATAATTAAAAAATTATTCTTACAGTCCAGCGTTTAGTGTAATAATCCTAACGTAATAATAACTTCGTCATCTCGTAATCCCCAGCTTCACAGTTACATAAAACTTCAGGAGTATCCTGTTAACTTTCCTATCGCCCAACGAAATGCGTGTTTCAGCTGTCCAGTAGCTTCCATCTCTTTTTCATCAACGTTTATTTTTATATTTCCGATAGGTGATGAATAAAAATTCTAACGAGTGTGTGAATGTAGAGAAAGGATTACAACTCTAAAATTTATTTTTTCATACACCCAGAGAAATGATCTATTTAAATTTAAGAAAATTACCGAACAAGTCAAGTAATCGTGAAGTAAACGCGATTTTCAGTACTTTCTCACCGTATATCGTTCAAAGTGCGAGACGAATAGTGAATTTTTCTCCGTTCGCCCGGGAAATTACTGAACGTGAGAGTAATTTCTGCGGTAACTGTAAAATTTACCCTGCGTTCCATCAAATTATTCCAGTGAACGTGAACGGAGAATGATTTTTACCGCACACATTCGGTAAAATTTCAATTCCATTTGTAAAATATCCTCCACAAACAGGTATTTTTCAATTGAATTACACTTCGTATAGTAAAATTCGTTATTTTCCAACTAATTTTTATCCAACTTCTCTCCCCGTGTAAACTTTTTTTCAATTCCCATGAAATAAGTAGTTTTTTAAAACTACCAACAAGTCTTTCTTTGATTCAAATGAAGACTTTATCAAGCAGAAGTGAAATCCTCAGATTTATTAACATATCATAAATTTTTATTTGACTCAAATAAAGAGTTTTGTCTACCAAAAGCGTCATTTTTCTGAATGTAACTGCGCTGTCTCGATAAAATGAAATATTAAAATTTCCTCTTCAGGCCTCAGGTGTCTATGACAACCGCTTAGACATGAACGAGAATAATAACAACGTGACAAATAGGATAAACGAGGATGGGGGTATAATGAGAACGGCTATTCAAGATTTCTACTCTGGTCAGAATGTCTTTATAACAGGTACATTGTTCCCACTAATACGTCGAATTGTGTTTGTTTACTCGGGAGCTTTCTCTTGTCGCTCGAAGATGCATGGTAATTGTTTTCAGGGGGCACTGGATTCCTCGGCAAGACACTGGTCGAAAAACTACTGAGGAGTTGTCCAGATGTATCTACTATTTACCTCCTGGTGAGGTCCAAGAAGGGACACAATGTGGTCGATCGAGTTGATGATTTATTCAACGAACCGGTGAGATATTTGTTACCGAACCGAGGAGAGGAAAATACGTGGAAAATTACCCCTGAATTCTAAGAATAGTATGGGCTTTCGAGAATTATCCGTTAATTTCCGATGAAATTAATTGTTATAAAATTGTTTAAAAAATTGAAATTTTGTGGACAATCTGGGAACAGTTTTCGAGAGAGAAAACAGGTTTTTCTTACGGTTGTCCCCAGCTTTTTCATAAATAATGTTCATAATATTCTCCAGCTATTGAAAAAATTGTAATTAGCTGTACTGCACAGTTTGGGAGATAATAAATAATAAAATGGTTATGGGTCCCCCGAATTTGATTTTTCCAGCTCATGAGAAAACGGTTCTTACGATGTTCTTAAGGATATCCAAGTATCTTCTACAGTTTGGTGCAGGGTACACTATAGATTCAATCATTTTCAATCATCAAATTTGTCAATTAAATTCTGTAAGAACAAAAAATGGCAAAAAATAATGAATATTCAGCGTCATTCTAATTATATTTTGCACAGAGTTATAATTTTTTTAACATTCGTTGATTATAAATAAATAATTGAAATTGTTTAAACTTTTGGAAACGGCATTTTTTCAGGCATGAAATCGATTTCTGGTGAAATTCTGAATATGGATAAATTTGTTACGATTCCGAACGAATGATTTTTACTTTTTTTATTTTCAATTTATTTCATTAATCTTCCTATAAAAGTAAACTTTGAATTTTTTTTTCAGATTTGTAAAGTGTTTTCTAACGACTCAAAATCGAGATTCAGATTTGCAAAGTGTAAATAATAAAATAATTGTAAAATGTCCGGGAACTTGGGGTCAAATGGGGCTGAAATGGAAGCTCCAATGTTCAATTACAAAAGTAGAAGAGCATTTCACTGGAGAAAAAATAGCCAAAGTACTTGGATATCCTTAAAGAGAAAAATCTGTGAAATTTCAAGTTTAAAGTAGAATTTCAATGAATTTAAAACACTGTTAAAAAATTTGAGCTGTAATTTTTGTAATCCGGTACACTTTTTGTAAATTTTTATCGTGTTACATAATTAATAATTTTTTTTCATATTGAATTTCCACTTGCATTTTAAGCAATTTCGACATTGAAAATTCACAATTTGACGAAATAATCAACGGAAATTGTAAATTTTATTTGAATAATTCTGCAGACATTAGTAGAAATCAAGGAAATAGATTCTTGAATTTAAAAAAATCCAGTGACATTGGAAATTCTCCTTCTTCTACTGTTCAAAATTTGAAAGTTCATTGTTTTTCCCCATTGTATCAAATTCAATGTCACGCCCCTAACAAATAGCAGTAAACTGCCATAAAATTTCAATTACCTCCTAACAGTGTAATTTCAAGTAGAAATAAGCCAGAAATTTCACAACTTCCTTGAATTTCCCTTATTTCTCCTACTCTTCCCTTGAACAATTGAACTAAATCCACAAATCCACAGTTTCCATTGACTTTCTCATAACTTAACGATAACAATCAACAGAATATGTACGTCATTTTCCTAGCTAGATCGTACAATTTTAGTCTAAATACTAACCGTAACTAAGTCGTGTAGTTTTCAAAATTCAAAGCAAAAATAGGGAAAAAATATTGTAATTCAGAGGTAATTTGATCCCCACTTTTCTCCTCTCTCTAGTTCTCATTTTTTATTGTCCCTCAAGATATTCGAGCATCTGAAGAAGAATTCCCCCAAATTTCGGCATAAAGTTGTTGCTGTAGCCGGCGACTGCGAGTCTCCAAATCTCGGATTATCAGAGAGCAATCGAGATCTGTTGATTCAAGAGGTAATCACAATCTTCTCCTTTCATTATTCCCGTAAACACTACTATGAACCAATGAATTAAATCGTCATATCACTGCAAAATAGTCAACCTCATTGTAACAAACAATTCTCCGAATAAAATAATGAATACAAAACATTTCCCCACAGGTATCCATAGTCTTTCACAGTGCAGCAACAGTACGTTTCGACGAAAAACTACGTGTTTCAACAGCAATAAATGTTGGCGGCACCTTGGCAGTGTTAAATTTATGCAAAGAAATGAAGAAGCTCAAGGTGAGTGCTCCAAAGTAGTCACGACGATGAAGAAAAATTGAAAGTCATTGCAAACTGCATATTCACAGTGCAATGTTTAATCATCATATGGTGTACATAAAGGGAGGTATTTCATAATCCATCCCTACTAATGGGGTCACCACCAAGCCGAAATCTCTCTCATCGGTAATCGGTGTTACACTCACAGCCACACGTACCTGTCTTATTCAGTTACGTCACACAAACGCAATCGACGCACGAGTGTGCTGGAGGCACGTTTATGAATACAATTAAAAAAATCAAACTCCAATTCATGAATTGACTGCATAATACACCATTCCACTGGGTATCTATTTGTCTATACGATTATATTCGACATTTAGGAAAATTGAGGAGATTGAATTATCGCGGTGAAAAAGAAAGTTGATGTTACTTAATGCAGAGTTTTCGAAATTTTCGTAGGCAAAGTCGATTAATTTTAGTGGATACATGAAAAGTCCATCAGGTGACAAATATCTTTCGAATACTGCCCCTGAAGTTTTTATCAGAATTTTTTTGGTAGAAATCTAGCGGAAAATGGAATAAATCTAGTAAAATTTACCTGTTTGTGAAGCTTTTGGTTGAAATAGTGGAATTTTGGCTGAAGTTATTTTACTTTTGACTGACATTTGTTAATCATTTTGTCTGTCCATGTGATTTGCGAAGTTTAAAGTATTTCCTGAACTTCAAACTATCTTTTTAATTTGAACATTTGAATAATATTGTACTAGAATTTCAAATCAAAGAAATTTCTTTATAAATTTAAATAGAGTGAAATGCAATGCAATGAATCAAGAGTAGATGCCAATATTTCAAGTAAAAATGGTGAATAATGGCTAGACGATCACTTAAGTTCGGAGATAATTCTCAATAGTATTTTCTCTCCATACACCACAGATATTATTTAACGAAAAAATTATGCAAAATCTACCTTTCCGTGAGCTCTTGAATGACCAGGAAGATGAATGAAAGAAATCCGAAAGCTTTCAAAATTGTTGCATTTTTTATTGGAATTTTCATAAAACTTCCCCAAAAACTATACGATGACTATAATTCAACGGTAATTTTCAATGCATTTTTCTGCTCATGAAATTTTCTACAACAAAAATATTGTCTGGATTTCCAACTATTTTTTTACTTTAAAAAAATTGAAAAATGTCATCATTCGACTAAAATTTCAAGTTAAATTTTGACAGAAATCTCGTTATAAAGTTAAATAAAATAAATGCCAATATTTCAGGTAACAATTTTCAAAAAACGCTGTAATTCTGCCCAGAGTTACTGCTTTTTCTACTTGAATTTTCATAAAAATCACCGAAAGGCTAAACGATTACTTAACTTCAGATGTAATTCTCAACAGTTTTCCCTCTCGATACATCGCAGATACTATTTAATGAAAAAATCATACAAAATTTACACTTCCATGAGCTCATCAATGACCACGAAGATAAATAAAAAAAATCCAAAGGCTTTCAAACTATCTTTTTAATTAAAAAAAATGTCATCATTGCACTAAAATTTCAAATTAAATTGTGATAGAAATCTCTTTATGAACTTGAATAGAATAAAGTGCAATGAATCTAGAATAAATGCCAATATTTAAAGCAAAAATTTTTTTTAAAACTGTAATTCTGCTCCGAGTTATTGCATTTTTTACTGAAATTTTCATAAAAATTACTCAACTCCAGATGTCATTCTCAACGGTTTTCCCTCTCGATACATCGCAGATACTATTTAATGAAAAAATCATACAAAATTTACAATTCCATGAACTCATCAATGATCAGGAAGATAAATAAAAGAAATCCAAAGTCTTTCAAGTGCCAACGAAAACTAGTTGCTTCAACAGTGTATTCACCACTGTTGAATGAGTATACGCAATTTTTCTTCACCTTGAAATTCAATCGAAGAATTAGCAAAGGTGCTAATTCACTAGCCGGAATGCACTCCTAAACCTCCATTATTTTCCCTCCCATCGTCAGCGAACAATTTATTCATTTCCATCAAATAATGATTCTTGACACTGACTAAATGTTTTCGGCGACACTCAAAGAGCCGTCGAGACCTCGACCTCGGGAATATTCATATTTTTATCTCCTTTGAACCCAGGATGTGTACCGAGAATACTGAACTATTCATTTGTCAAGTGATCCGACAAAAACCTGTTGACCACATCCTGTTTAATTTCCCCTAGGCAATGATTCACGTCTCGACTGCTTACTCAAACTGTCATCTGGACACAATCGAGGAATCCTTCTGCTCCCATCCCATGCAATATGAGGACCTCAAAACAGTGGTCAATACTCTGTCAGATGACGCAGTCAATGACGTATTACCGAGGTGAGAAAACATCTGTGATAATTGACGATTAATTATGCATTCAGAAAACTTTGAACTTGGCATACGATTCGGTTGTTTGCTTTGAGTATTACGTTTTGATGATTCATCCTCATTTTTTTCAGAATCCTTCAGAATTGGCCCAACACTTACACCTATACTAAGGCACTGGCTGAACAGGTGGTTCGACAGAAGAGCAAGGATTTGCCGGTGGGGATTTTCAGGCCTGGCATCAGTAAGTGAATGTCAATGATTTTTTATTCAGAGATCATTTCAGTCCTTGGAGTCTCGGGTCCTCTCTCAAAAATGGAATTGAGACTGAGAAAAAATTGTTTGCGCTTTTGAATTTATTCGTTTAATTCAGTTGTCTGGAGTATATTCGTTTGGAATGAATACATTCTTTTCTCTGTGTAATGTTTGTAGTCGGGAGTCTACTTCGATATGCTTATTTTAGGAATATTGTAGTTTATTCCTAAAAATAAGACACGATGTGTAAGATGAGGTGTTGGGGATTTTGCTTTTTTTTCAAGGTAACTTGAAAAATTTTTGACAAAATTTAATGGACAATTTGAGGCATTCAAGACGCAAGAGAATTCTCGTGGCTCAATCGATTTTTATTTCACTGTACAACCTATACGATTATGATTGCTTCTATATAAATTCTTTGATCTGAATTTTAAGAGTTCTCTCATGTAGAAGTTGCAATTAGGAATAATTTTGTGGGCACGAATTTCTACAGAATCTATTTATTTATAGAGAATCTTTTCTTCCATTTATGTGAATTTATTTCTTTTTATAAAATCTTTTTTTCTATTATGTAGCAAAAAATTGAGCGGAAAGGCTGCAAAATTTCCAATAGAATACATTTAAATTTAAATTTTTAATTATATTAAAAATTAGAATTAAAATGTCTTTTATTTATTGATCTTTGAAATTTATTCATTTTTTTATTGTATTAAAATTTAATACAATTTGTCACTCATTCTCAACAAAATCTCAATCAAAGTTCAATACAACTCTTATAACGTTTTTAAATAGAAATTATGTTCTGTCACTAAATTTTAAAGATAACTTCAGGGTAAACAGTCTCCAGAGTTTATTCAAATCATTAATAATAATTGAAGAACAGATAAAATGTGTTTGGCCATCGCCATGTATTTGATCACTGGGATCTTCACAGTGGTATCTCAGGTTTTACTAACTCTTGGTCTCTTCATCCTGGCGCTCACTGGGAAAATTATTCTATTCGTCTGCGCTATGATTTATGGGGTTGTTCGTTCCGGGCCCAGAGTGACCCAGGTGAATTCCCCTGAACCTCTGGAGACTATGTACCCAGAATACAACTTCGAGGATGACTTTGATACCATGGGGAGGGAATCGTTGGAAACAATTCCGAGTTTGGAAGATTTAAGAAGGGACAATTTGGTGAATAATTCTTCGTCACCGAGATCACCTGCCTCTACTCCCGATTCATTCAGTAATTTGGAGACCAGGGGGACGCTGGAGATGGTCTGCAGATCGATCGAAGTACTCTTCCCAGAGACTGAGAACGGATAGAAGTATTTTGGGAGGAAGTGTGAGGTTCTAAAACGATTTAGGGGAGGGCGGGGCAAAATAGAGACTTTTGATATTTTTTGCAATGACACATTCGCTGATTTAGGGAAGGGTGGGGTAAAATGGACACTTTTGATTTTTTTTTAAATTATTCGTAACTCAGAAACAGATTTATCAATTGAGGAATCAATGTTCTTTCAATTGAAAAATAAGATTATTCCGTTTCGTGAACAATTCAACACGTTATGAACATTTCAAAAGTCAAAAATGTATTTTATTCCACTCTCTAGTTTAGTTTAAGTTCATTATGCGGAGGAAAGATCGTATTTTGCAAGGAAAAAAATTATCCCGTTCAACTTGAAATTTAATTAGTCATTATCATTAAAAGAAAAATTCAACGTGTTCATTTTGCCGCACTCATGGCTATTTAATGCTCAGTAATTTCGTGCGCGGAGGAGCCACTCCCTGGATGGATCGACAATTATTACGGACCCACTGGAGGTGTCGCAGCAGCACAGCTAGGCATTCTGAAAAGTGTCCACTATAAACCAGATATTGAAGCCAATGTTGTACCAGTGGATTTTACTGTCAATGGGTTGATAGCTTCTGCATGGGACGTGGCAACTCGCCCTGACAGGTGAGAAGTCGTTTAATAATTGATGAATATTTTTGAGAGGAGAATATTCTACTGGTAGAAAAAAATTTAAATTTTCCGGAGAGGGACAGTGAATTCAATTGAGAAGAAAAATGATGAAATTCCAGATTTCACGGATGATTTATTGAATTATCGAAGTGCAGTTTAAATTTTTCAGTTTTCTCCATAATTTTGAATTTTCAATTAAGAAATTCCTTGAAAATTCAATGGAACTGTTATGTGATAAAATTTCCAGTGTACTGGAAATTTCAGCCAAAAATTTTTCAACGGCTTATGACCACAGAAATAAAAATTTGATTCTCAGGAACATGTCAATGATTTTCAGTGATCCAACCCTAATTTTCAAGAATCTATTCCCAATATTTAGGGATCCGAGATTGTGGAATTTAACGTGTACAAAAATTTGGTATTCAGTGATATTCTCATTTCGTCATTTTCATTTCGTCGTTTTCAATAATAAGAATTGATTCCTAAAAATCAGTGACATATTGCTGGAAATGAATGACATGTTCCAGAAAATAAAAAAAATTGTTTTTCTCCATGACATTTTTCACAAAATAAGAGGAATCAAAATTTTGGGAATTCATAAAGAATTTCAATATTTCCAGACGAAACGATAAAACTCTGATCTACAATTACGTATCAACAGTGGATGCCCCAGTGTTATGGGCAGACTACTACGACTACTGTCTAGCAGGTGCTCGTGAATTCCCAATTCTCCAATCGAAATGGTACCTCACGTTCTCCCCAAAAGCATCTTCCCTATCCCACTCCCTATCAGTCCTCTTCCTCCACCTGGTGCCCGCCATGATCCTCGACTTCTTCCTCGTCTGCACCGGAAATAAACCACGAACATACAAAATGGTGACCAAGATCTTCAAGTACTTGAGCGTTGTTCAGGAATTCACTATGAGGAATTGGACGTACAAAACAGACAATGTACAGCAGTTGTGGAATCGTTTGGATGCCAAGGACAAGCAGAACTTCAAGTTCAGTCTTAAGGAGTTCGATTGGAGAAATTACTTTAGGAATTATCTGATGGGGGTCAAGATTTATTTGTTCAAGGAGGATCTGAGCACACTCGAGGCCAGCAGGAAGAGGGCACAAAGGTTATTATCTTGTCTGTAATCAATAGATTCAGAGAGAAATTAAAAAAATTTCTGGATAATTACTTCACTCGAATATTTTAAAAATAATCTCATAGAAAAACCTAACCCTTTCTCCAAGAAATTCGATTGAATTTCTATAACAACTCTATAAGAATTCTTTCTAGGCACGAATTTTTCAAGTTTTCTTTCTTGGATTTTAATATGAAAAATAAAACTGCAATGAAAAAAAATTGGAAAATTATGAACAAGAATTTTTCACTAAAATCTTGACAAAACCCCGATAAAACTAATTTCATAATTACTTTGAATTTCACATATTCTTCATTAATGAAGCTTCATTCCGCTGATTTATTTCAGACTTCTCTGGCTACATCAAGGAACGAAAACATTCTTCGGATTAATAATGATGTGGATGGTATGGAAACTGTTCACTCCATTCATCTGAATGAAATTCGCTCTCAAATTATTTCCCCGGAGAATAAAGGCGGATCGTGTTTTTTGTAAATACTAGACGAGAGGAATATTTTTAACGCGTTTTTGTTATTTATATGTTACAATCGACAATCTATGTAATTTTGTTATTACCCTAATCATCAGTACTACTGCTCACGATATCCAATAGTTTTCTATGTATAGTTTTTATGCGTCTTCAATAGTATTCGACAGTATGGAGTACAATAGATGAAGGTAAATCAACGTGTTTTTTATTTTAATGCTCTATGTATTTAGTTCAATAAAACGAGTTGTGAATTTAATTAATAAAAAATAATTATTATTCATTAATGAAAAAAGCTTTATAAATTATTATGTCGCTGAATTTTCGGAAGGCAGAAGAATTGTCTCATCTTTTCAGTTGAAGAAATTCTGAGTTGAAATTAATTTTGAATAAAAAAGGAGATAAATATTCCACTCCCACCTGACATTCATGCATTTCAATGCTTAATTTAGGAAGTCTGTGGAAATGATGAATGATCAAGATATCGAGCTGATTATCGACTGATCAGCTAGATAATAAATTTAAAAAAAGGACAACGGGGAATCCCCCGACCCTCTCACACTCCCTCCCCTTGTCTATGTGCAGGAAAACCTCAAAGGAAATGCTATCTACGTCAGTCTGGAGGAATTGGGGTTTCCCATTGATAATCTAACCGATGACAATCCATTCAATACTGTTCATTTATAAAAGACAGCTGTCAATTGCTGCTCACATTCCAGTCGCGTGTTGTAATGGTAACAATAGCGGTCTTGAATCAAAAGAAAATGAAGTGTAGTGCAGTTTTCTTGAGTGGATTACTGATAGCTGCGGTGTCATCAACTTCAGTTGAAAACGGCAAGTGCCATGTAACAGAATAAACTAATAAGACATTTTTACATCATTCCATTTTTTATTTCAACACTTTTTTCTTGTATTTTTGCGTCCGAATGGAAGTTTTGTCATTGTCCATTTCTTCTAATTTCACTTGGAAATGATGTAGAATGTTATGAAACGTGAAGATATGATGTTTTTAAAAAAATATGTGTGTGTGTGCGGATTTTTGTACAAATCTTCACGAAAAAAGGAGTAAAGGTCGAGCTAAAAACATGAAATTGTGTGGAATAATTGGCATTACTTGGGAGCACATCTGGGCGATATCCAGCTCAATCGGTCAAGCTGTTTTTTTAGATATAGCAATTTTTCGAAATTTTTTTCTCAATGTCTCAAGAACTGGGTGATTGAGTTGATTTGTTTCAACACCAAAATATTCCTTACCATAATATCCATTAAATGAAGGTATAATATCTTCACTTAGCCAGGGACGAGTTGGATTGCCAACTTGATTTTATCGAGAGTGAAAAATGCCAATTATTGAATTCAATTCAATTTCGTGGACAATTGACCACTAATTTTCAGGACAGTGACACTGAATGCGATTTAGGCAGACAACAATCATGAAATTTCAGGTGTTCATGGGAAATTCAGTGAAATACCAGAATTTTAATTAGCATAAAGACGAGAATTCCTCAATTCATTCGATTTTCAATGAAATATGAATACTCAGTGCCAAATTACAGTGAATTTTCAGTGAAATTTGAAATTCCATGATTCTTTTTCCCCCGAATCGCATTGAGTGTTACCGTCCTGAAAATTGAAGAATATATTAACCGGAATTTTCTGGTTTTCTATGAATGTTCCGGAGAAAATTGAACTGAAATTTACAGTTCTCATTGATTTTTCCACGAGATTCTCAATTTTCAATGACAAAACTCCTCGAAATTTCAGTGGAAATTAAATGTGATTAAAATTTCCGAAGGTGTACCGGAAATTTCCGATAACAATTTTTAACATTGTATTCCAGATGGAATCAGCATAATTAACAGAGTAGACTGGGGAGCAAAGCCACCAAGCCACACACCAACTCCACTACCAGAAGTTCCTCCCCCATACGCGATAATAAGTCACACAGCGTCGAAACCGTGTTCCACGCAAGTAGAATGCTCCGAGCGTGTTCGGACTATTCAAAGCATGCACATGGAGGGCAGAAAATGGGAGGACATTGCGTACAACTTCCTCGTGGGCGGCGACGGCAACATCTACGAGGGTCGTGGCTGGGACGTCCAAGGAGCGCACACCCTCAATTACAATAAGAAGAGCATTGGACTCAGTTTCATCGGCACCTTCAACACAGTATCGCCGAGTGAACAGCAACTGGCGGCTGCCAAGAACCTACTCGAGGCGGGAGTGAAGATGGGAAAATTGGCGGATAGTTACAAGCTACTTGGGCACAGACAACTCAGTGAGACCGTCAGCCCGGGAGATGAACTCTACAAAATTATTCAGACGTGGCCACACTGGAGTGAGAAGCCTTGAATTCTTGTTCGTGATTTTAATTAGGAATTAAGTGATTAGTTCTGCGAGATGTTCATCCAACACAAAGAAAAAAAAGTCTTGATTTTCGGAGACATGTCACTGATTCTCGGGGATTTGTCGGGTGGATTCAGCGAGGAAATTCAGTGTTAAATTGTGAAATTCAACGATTTTGTCGTCTATTTTTAGTGGCATTATCGTTTGTTTTCAAAGTAATGTCGCAGATTTTCAGGGATTCGTCTGCAATTGTTAGGGGTCTGTCAGAAAATTTCAGTGACAAAAATCACTGGTCAGAGTCACTCCCAGAAAATCAAAAATTTTTTCTCTGTGATACATTTACCCACTCAAAGAGTGACTTCTCTCGCAAATTTTGGAATAATGACACGTGTTTCATCATATCAATTCCTTTGTATTAGAAAGAGTATTAATTTTCATATGTAAATGAATAATAAACTTTTGTATGACTGTGAGAAATTGGAAAATTGTAATTCCTTCCATGTGAACGCAATCGCAATATTTTATTACAGTAGTCTGTCGATGATTGCGGCGCCGGAGCTGAAAATTGAGCGTACTGAAACGTCACAGAACCCCCACCCCCACTCTCTCTTCTCTTGTCACAAAGAAAGTTCGAGTCCAATGTTAACAAGACTTTTATCAATTTTTTCTGGCGATTAATTGGCCTGCGGAAGATCGTCCTAAACATTTTCTGCGCCAAGTATAATCGTTCTCGTGGTGTATGTAAAGCCATCTCATTGAATACCTTGAAAACTGTTCAACTGAATTCATTTAGACCATGGGAGTTCATCAAACAACTAAAACGGAAACATTTGGAAACTTGCCATCAGTTTATCGATGGCAGGAAAGGATAATTACACTCCTTACTAGAAAATTTTCGTAAAAAATTCATGAGTTTAAATTATGGGCAACCTAGCAAATTAAATTCAAGAACGCATGGAATGGCAATTTTTTATAACAACAGTTATTCAGGGTTCGCGACGTGAACGCAACTGGTATGCGAACCTCAAAAAAACAAAATAATAAAATTAATTGGACGAAGACCTAAACACTCGTTTAGGTTGACCAAAATCTTCTGTCACATGTTCGGTGTCCCCTGATAGTTTTCTTGATCACTACGTCCACAGAAATAACATCATCAATGTTGAAGCTAATTAGGATATGTTTGATATTATGATGTTTCATATAATTTAATCCACTGAATAGCCGATCGATTGAATGAGTTTACACATGAGAAACACCTGCCTCAAAATTGACTTCTCTAATATAAGTAAACGCGAAGACGACAGGACACGCTCAAATCAATTGAGTGATCATGCAGATAACGAGAATAACCAAATTTTAATGAATTTACATATCCTGTTCTCTATCGGTACGAGATAAAGATTATTATAACTGATAACACTCTTGAACTCTATCTGTCGTGAAGACTACTTGAAAACGGCACTTCAGTATTCTTCTACATATCTGATGCCACTGCGATACGTGTCAGGAACAATAGTCACGAGTTAATAGCACAATGAAATTTGATACAATAATTATAGTTCTGATTGCTGTGGTTCTGCATGCATCGAGCACCTTGGGAGATGGTAATTACATATGAATAACGTAATTCTCTGAATTCACTCAGTTAAATAAATACACACACGAAGAAATTTCGTAGAAAGAGATTCTATTGGGAATTCCATCAGCTTTTCACCGATTTTATTGAATAAATCGGCAACTTTTCTGCGCGTGAAAATGAACCAAAGAAATATAAAATTTTAATCGAGGAATTTCTACAGAAAATATCTTGAGGATAACCAAGTATCTCATCAAATTTGTCAACTGAGTTGCGTGAGAAAATTTTTAAAAAAATCAGGAATATTCAGCGTCATTCGAATTGCATTTTGCACAGACTTATCATTTTTTAAACATTTGCTGTTTATAAATAAATGAATGAAATAGTGTAAACTTTCAGAAGTCTTATTTTTTAAATTATTTATAGAACATGTGCGCAATTTTTAAACATTGCAATTTTTTAATTATTTCATCAATCTTCTTCCAAAAGTAAACTTTTTATTTTCTTTCAGATTTGTAAAATGTTTTTCAACGGTTCAATATTGAGATTTAAATTCAAACTTACAAAATTTAAATAACATTTTTTTTCATTGTTATTTTAAGTCGTTTCGACTCGATTGAGTATATGGCGATGATGATCAAGACTTTAAATTGTTAGATCTCACCATTCTACCTGATCGGGAAGAAAAATAAATAATAGATGCATTGCAAAATATCCGGAAACTTGGAGTCAAATGCCATGAAAGCTCTGACATTCGACGAAAAGTAGAAAAGCATTTCACAACAGAAAAAATAGCTCAAGAATTTGGATATTCTCAATAGAATAAATAGTACAGGAAAATCAAATTGTATCGCTTTTCTCAATCGAATATTAGTGAGTTACCGAGAAATTCATTGAATCAATTGAATAATTTCCTGGACAATCGTAGACCCACAATCGCTGACGATAATCAGTCGAGACGAATGGGGCGGACAAACACCAGCAGGTCCATTGACTCGGCTATCACAAAGTCCATTACCATACGTCATAATAAGCCACACGGCCTTTTCCCCGTGCACCACCAAGGACCAATGTTCCAGCAACGTTCGCGATATTCAGAACATTCACATCGCGGAGAACAAATGGGACGACATTGGCTACAATTTCCTGGTTGGTGGAGATGGTAACATCTACGAAGGTCGTGGATGGGACATGACCGGCGCCCACGCAATCGGCTACAACTCCAGAAGCATTGGACTCAGTTTCATCGGAACCTTCAACACTGTCGCCCCGAGTGATGAGCAGCTCAGAACTGCTCAGCTTTTGCTCGAGTCTGGAGTGAAGGATGGAAAGTTAACTAGTGATTACAAGCTACTGGGGCATAGGCAAGTGCGTGAGACTGCCAGCCCTGGAGACAAACTCTACGAGATTATCAAGACTTGGCCACATTGGAGCGCAATACCCTGAACTCGTGATTCAAGGGAGAATATGTAATGTTTGTGACTAGCTTCGTCAGTTCAATAAACCGGAACCAGGAAATATTATTTAATCATCAATCGGATCAATAATTGATAATATGTTTCTGTTCATGATTGACCAACAGTTTAATGCGTTCATACTAATTTTCATGTACGAAGAATTTCATAAAAAAATATTGCGAAATCGTCAGAAAATTCTATTGTATTTGTATTGAACTTCCTATTAGCTTTTGACTGATTCTGTTGAAAATTTTCACAGTTTATCTGTGCGTTATTTCAATAGAAATGTTCAATGGAAAATATCCTTTTTAAAAAAATGTCACGTTTGTTGTCATTAATCTATTCCGCTATGCTTAACTTGGGATTATTTTCATCCTAAACTTGAATATCTTCTTGTATACAATGAGAAAAAATTTTAAAAATACTATACATTTTTTTATATGACAAAAAATGATAAAAAACATACTGTAGGGGAGGTTGGGGTAAAATGGACACTTCCGACTTTTTTAAAAATGCTAATGAGGAGTTGAAATGTTGATAAAATTTAATAATTTTTTTTCAATAAAAAAAACAATTCTTTCCCCTTGTGATGAGCTTAAACCGAGCTCAATTGATCAATTTGCTTATGAGTTATGCCATAATTGAAAAAAAGTCTAAAGTGTCCGTTATACCCCACCCCCTATATTTTTTTAGAAAAAAATATTTTCATTTTATTCATCTTCACTTTCAATAACGAAAGCGAAATTGAAGTGAAATTCAATCTAAATCAATTCATGATGCTTAACTTGAGACTCTTACATTTCATGCGTACCCTTTCCCTAGTCTTTAGAAAAAATTAATACACGACAGGAATTTTTCGGAAAAAATCTAGTTAAATCCAGTTAAAACGGCGCAAAATGTCAGCCAGGGAATAATTCATTCAATACCACTAGTGAATGAATCAATTTTGAATAGGATATCCGCGAAATTAGCATTTATTGTCAGCCATCAGACGAGACTTTACTCATAAGGAAAACCGAACGATTAATGACCATGCGTCGAATAATTCAAAGAATGTTATGAGGAATAAAAAATAAAGTTCTAACTGAAAAGAATTCTCCTTTAACCCCTCTTCCTCCTCTGATGCTAAAAGGAAACTAGCATGAACTCCTGTTCAGAAGAATTCATTTTGAAGGAATCACCGTTTTTCCGTTTCCCGTACAAGAAGAGAATGCGCAATCTCTTGAGTCGATTTATATAAACCGTATCTGAATATATTGTCTCACATCAGAGTTTCACGTTGCATTGACAAGGTCATATATCTCCACACTGATTATTTATGTAAAACCAGACAGAGGATTGTTTTCCAGTGTTAAGTTTTACGTTGCAGTGCTAAGATGGTTCTAGCTAAAATGACACAAAATATCACAATCTTGATTCGACTTTTAATGTCCGTTGCGGAGGCGCCGCAGGTAGCTATCACTATAGAAGTACCGACAACTCCATCAATGAATTCGACAAGTACACCATCGCCTCAGGGCTGCGCAACAGCTCCTTGAGCTCGGGGTCAAGTTCAGGGAATTGGCGGGAGATTATAAGCTACTCGGAGAGAAGCAAGTGATCAGGACGGTTAGTCCTGGGGAACAATTATACAGAATCATTCAGACGTGGCCGCATTGGAGTGCGAGACCTTGAGTTGTTATTAGGGGAATTGACTGAAGAGAGACGATCGCTTGTGATAATATAAGAACAGGTTTTTGATAAGACTTTTAGAATATCAGAAAAGAATAAAGAATTCTATGAATACCCAACGAATGTGTTCATTATTCTCAACCAGGAAAAATGTTACTTGCATGAGGAAAAGAGGAACGAATGGAACGACATTGGATGCAACTTCCTGGTGGGGGGCGACGGCAACGTCTACGTGGGCCGTGGGTAGAACAGCATCGGAGTTGGTTTCATTGGGGATTTCGATAAGGTTTCGCCGAATGAGAGACAACTCAGGGCTGCGGAACACCCGAGTCGAGGATTTGGTTCGGATTGGACGTACACAGGTCTTTCAAGATCTCTCCAGACCTAGATGGACCTGGTAAGTCCTAATCAGTTCTGCGACGTACTTTTCCAGAGACCTTTCGAATCCTCAGTTCTTTCGGTCCTGAGAAGTCCTCCTCGATGCTACCGAGAAACCGTGATTTTACGAGCGGGTGAAGGGGAAGGCATGTATGCGGAGGGTTGAAATTTGTAGCCAACGAGGAGACAGGGTTGCAGAATATATTTTAGCCACCCTCATCTCCCCGTTTGCAGGCGGTGTTTAAATAAAAAATAGTGAACGTTGATTCTGTATTTATTGACCCCCTGATGCCAATGAAACCCTCGGAGGTGACAGAAAAGGGGAAAAAAAAATTTTCATTTTCACATGGGTTAAGTGAAAGTTGATTTTCGCCAAAATTGAATTTTTTCGCCAAGTGAAAGATGATTCTGTATTTTCTAACAATTCTGATGTCAATGAAACCCCCGAAGGCGCGACAAAAGTCGAAATAAAATTTTTTTTTTCACCCCGAGCCAAAGAGTCAGATTTTCTGTTTTTCCAGAGGGAAAGTCGACTTTCGCCAAAATCGAATTTTTTTGTCGGGCGAGTGTTGTTTCCAACTATTTGAGCGACGGGCTATTCAGAACTTTTAAAAGTATGTGGAAAAAGTAAAAACTGAAAAAGTTTTTTTTCTCAAATTTTCAAAGGGTCAGATTTTCGGGTTTTCCGGGGCAAGTGGATTTTCGCCAAAATCGAATTTTTTTGTCGGGCGAGTGTTGTTTCCAACTATTTGAGCGACGGGCTATTCAGAACTTTTAAAAGTATGTGGAAAAAGTAAAAACTGAAAAAGTTTTTTTTCTCAAATTTTCAAAGGGTCAGATTTTCGGGTTTTCCGGGGCAAGTGGATTTTCGCCAAAATCGAATTTTTTTGTCGGGCGAGTGTTGTTTCCAACTATTTGAGCGACGGGCTATTCAGAACTTTTAAAAGTATGTGGAAAAAGTAAAAACTGAAAAAGTTTTTTTTCTCAAATTTTCAAAGGGTCAGATTTTCGGGTTTTCCGGGGCAAGTGGATTTTCGCCAAAATCGAATTTTTTTGTCGGGCGAGTGTTGTTTCCAACTATTTGAGCGACGGGCTATTCAGAACTTTTAAAAGTATGTGGAAAAAGTAAAAACTGAAAAAGTTTTTTTTCTCAAATTTTCAAAGGGTCAGATTTTCGGGTTTTCCGGGGCAAGTGGATTTTCGCCAAAATCGAATTTTTTTGTCGGGCGAGTGTTGTTTCCAACTATTTGAGCGACGGGCTATTCAGAACTTTTAAAAGTATGTGGAAAAAGTAAAAACTGAAAAAGTTTTTTTTCTCAAATTTTCAAAGGGTCAGATTTTCGGGTTTTCCGGGGCAAGTGGATTTTCGCCAAAATCGAATTTTTTTGTCGGGCGAGTGTTGTTTCCAACTATTTGAGCGACGGGCTATTCAGAACTTTTAAAAGTATGTGGAAAAAGTAAAAACTGAAAAAGTTTTTTTTCTCAAATTTTCAAAGGGTCAGATTTTCGGGTTTTCCGGGGCAAGTGGATTTTCGCCAAAATCGAATTTTTTTGTCGGGCGAGTGTTGTTTCCAACTATTTGAGCGACGGGCTATTCAGAACTATCAAAAGTATGTGGAAAAGGTGAAAAATGAAAAAAAAAATTTTTCACCGGAAGCCAAAGTGTCGGATTTTTGGTTTTTACTTGGAACAAGGGTCAGATTTGTTAACACTTTCATTTTTTATTTGGACAATGCATGCAAGCGGAGGGGCAAGAGTGGCTAGAATAGATTCTGCAACCTTCTCCGCTTGTTGGGTAAAAATGTCAAGCCTCCGCATACATGCATCTCCCCTCCACCCTCCCGTGAAATGTCGATTTTCGAGATTAAAAAAGAAATTAATTGCATTTTTTATTTCAATAACGCATGAGTAAACAGGGATATGAACGCAGATTTAATATAGGCCCATAGAATTACGGGGACCGGCAAGGATTTGGAAAGTCTGAATGCACGTCCTGCTTACACCTAACAAGTGCTGAAATGGGACATAACCAGAGGTAGAAAGGTCTCGGAAGCACTTGGGAAGAGGCTTCCCAAGACCTATCCAGTTCTGAACGGAAAGACCTAAGTAGAATTTGTCAGGTCCAATTATTCGACTCGGGCAGCTGCTTGAGCTCGGAGTCAAGTTCAGGGAATTGACGGAAGATTATAAGCTACTCGGACAGAAGCAATTGATCAGGGCGATCAGTCCTGGGGAACAACTATACACAATCATTCAGACGTGGCCGCATTGGAGTGCGAGGCCTTGAGTTGTTTTTAGGGGAATTGATCGAAGTGAGACGATCGCTTGTGATAATATAAGAACAGGTTTTTGATAAGACTTTTGAGAAGACATTCGATAACACTTTTAAAATTTCAGAAATTATTAAAGAATTCAATTAATTCTCATCGAATTGTGTTAATTATTCTCAACCAGAAAAGACTCACTTGTATAAAGAAAAGAGAAAGAAAAGTGACAGCTGTGTCAACGTGCTTCGATTAATTCCGTAGATGCAATGAAGAATCAAAGATTATTTCACGACAAAACTTTATTCTTCTACCACTACTCCAACCTATTCTGTCTAACGGCCGATGCAGACTGAAATAAAACAATTCTTATGAAACAGCATACGGAATGAATGGGCACATCTTCTTTCTAGCGAAAACGACAGGGGATTCCCATGTGATAGCCTCTCCAATCACTATCAGTAGATAGGAACTGTGTATATAAATGCTAGCTGAAAATTCCTGCGCATATTCAAAGTGGACATTGTAGTGCTATGACAAGAAGCTCTGGGACACAATAAAATGGCGCAGAATGTCACTTTCTTGATCGGATTTGTGATGGCAGTGGTTCAAGAACAAAGTGCACCGCCGATTACATTACCTCCAGTTATTGACGGTAATTTTTGACTGAAACTTCTCTCGATATATTTCTTTACAATTTGATGAAAAAAATAACGGAAATTGTAAATTCCAGTTTAATTATAGCATAAAAACTTACAGAAATGAGGCAAATTCTGGTGAATTTATTCATGAATATTCAATCAATCCAAAATTTCGTATAACTTCGTACAGAATATTCATGTTTCGATTGAAAATTCACTAAGTTTGCTAAAAAAAATTCTCGTCTTCCTGTTGCTCAACAATTTGAAAGCCCATTAAATTTTCAGTGAAATTTGATTTTTGATTATCCGAAAATTTAAATAATTTCCATTATCCACTCACGACACGGAAATATGAAAAAAAAAATATATATAATTCTCCGAAAAATGTAAAACACAAAAATCTATCAATTTTTGTGATTTCACGCACTTCATTTGGCAGTTTTGATGATTGGAAATTTCCTTGAGACGAAATTCAGGCGATACATTATGCTAAAAAATTGCTTCACCTAGAAAACAATCTCATGGCACTTCCTCCCGATTTTTTTAACAAAAAAACGAAGAAAGATGTTCAATTCAGTAGCAAAGTGGTAAAACGGTTTAAGTCGAATTATCTCCCAGTTGAGTTTTTGAGCAATATGTCCGAATCTAAGGGAGATAGCGAAATTTTCATAATCACATTTGTTGTAGCACTCAATCGGCTCTACAAAAAACGTTATAACAACAATTTTGATATCTCCCTCAGATTCCGAGATATTCATTGAAAACTGATCAATAGTCAAAAATGACTCATACCGTTTTACCACTTCGCTACTGAATTTGTCGTGCGGAATTTTATTACTTCACTGTATTTATACTTCACTTCTGTTTCTGTTTCTAGTAGAACCGTTGAGAATAATTCGTCGCTCGGAATGGGGAGCCCAACCCCCGCGACATCCAGCCCTCCCACTATCAGTTATTCCTCCCCCGTACGTAATAATAAGTCACACCGCATCGGAGCCGTGTTCCACCCAGGCAGAATGCTCGCAGCATGTTAGAACGAGCCAAACCATGCACATGGAGTGGAACAAATGGGACGACATTGCATTCAACTTCCTGGTGGGTGGCGATGGCAACGTTTACCTGGGCCGTGGCTGGGACGTTCAAGGAGCCCATACATTCAATAACAACAACAAGAGCATCGGAATCAGCTTCATTGGGACCTTCAATCAAGTCGCCCCGAATGAGAAGCAACTTCTAGCTGCTCAGCGTTTACTCAAGTTGGGAGTGGAGGAAGGAAAATTATCGAAGGATTACAAGCTTCTTGGGCAGCGACAACTGACTGAGACCCTGAGCCCTGGCAATTCACTCTACAAGATTATCCAGACGTGGCCACATTGGACTGAGAACCCTTGACACATCAAAGGAAAACGTTTCATTGCCACAACTCGCGGTTTTTATCTATTATTTCAGAAAGATTTGCTTACTATTGAAGAATATTCATTTGGTCATAGGCAGCTCTACCATTCGTTAGTGGTTAAAAACCCTTAACAAATTAGTTAACAGTAAATAGATAGTTGTTTCTTAACTATATCTTGAGATGAATAATTTTTCTTTAGTTCACATTGAAAAAAATGAATTTAGACACGTGGTTGAGAGACTTTTTACGATTTCGGTTGATTTGTATTGACTAATTCAACTGATGTAATGAAGAATAAAGAAAAAAAATGTTGTGTTAACATTGAATGCTCTTCTAATCACTGTATCCCTCGATAATTTTTCTATTTCTTAACATTTCCTCCCAAAATCATTTGATTCCAAGCTGCGTCATCCGTGATTGGTTGAACGATTCATTTATAGGTAACGAACCGATTGGTTTGAGTGTTTCAAGGTCCATTTGGTAATAGTTAATATCAAGCTCATTTGAAATGAGCGTGAACTATGAAGAAACACTATTTTTTGTAATACAACCAAAAGTTTCATTGCGGCAACTCGTGATTTGTACTCATTATTTTACAAAGATTTCTTAACTATTGAGAAATATTATTGACGATTAATCTATCAAATACGTTTTTTAACATTTCTCCCACTATTTTTTGTAATATAACTAAGTTTCATTGTGAGAACACGTGATTTTTACTTATTTTCTCAAGATTTCGTGACTATTGAGGAATATTCATGAATAAATCGACGATAGATCTATCAAAAATTTTGTTAACATTTCTCCTTCTTTTCGAATAAAGTTGCCAAATTTGTGGAGAGTTTGAATTTCATATCTCCTCCACTCACATCAACGATGATGGCGCTTCGGTAACAATGTGACTGTGGATTGTCAACAAAGCCAATACTTCATAAGTTTTATTTTTCTACTTTTATACGAGATTGACAAAACAATTCATCATCTACAATCACCAGAATTTTGGAAACGTCCATTGTTATTGTCAATAGACTTCAATGAACCGAGGTATTTACACATTCTATTTAATTTACATAATATCGAAAGCCCTGTTTTGTCTCTTTAAAATTAGTTCCAAAAATTAATTAAAGACCAATTAAGAAGACCTTGAAGTACGACTGAACCGACGTTTTTCTACTCCTAGGTGCAAAATGCAGTCCGACATAATCTCAAAGCTCATCCCCCAGAACAAGGAGCAAGTGAGACCAGCCTGTAAAAAGTGTGGTTATGCCGGACACTTGACATACCAATGCAGAAATTTCATAAAAGTCGATCCCAACAAGGAAATTGTTCTGGACGTCAGTAGCACAAGCTCCGACAGCGATCAAAATTACGTGACACCTCTAACCGAATTACGTGAGACGGAACTGAAGAAAAAATTGAAAGAAGCTAAGAAGAAGAAGAAGGAGAAGCGGAGCAGGAAGAAGTCAAAGCACAAGAGCCGAAAGCGTGAGCACACAACGAGTGAATCTGAAGACTCTGACGAAGAGTCGTCGTCTTCGGATGATGAAGGGAGAAGCAGGAAGAAGAAGAAGAAGGACAGAAGGAAGAAATCAAAAAGCAAAAAACGGAGAAAGCACAGGAGACAGACTTCGGATTCCTCTTCCGATGAAGATTAATTCCATGATTTCACACCTACATGTGAATTAATTGTGTCTTCTTTTTTGAAACAGACTGAATGAATCTTGTAAAAATAACAATGAACAAATGCACGAACGTATTCTTACAACTTTGAATTACCTTTTGGCCATTTCCAAACATTTCTTTTACTTCTTTTACGCTTAAATTTATCCAGAAGTTAATATATTAATTTCAGAAGCTGTTATGATGAAAACTTCGCCATCTTTCTCCAATTTGGAGATATTCATAAAAAACTCGCCTGAAAATTGAGTTACTAATCCTCTTAGAGTCGAAAATTCCCTGAATTTTACGATGAGAAGAAGAAAAATTGAATAAAATGTGGGGATCACTATGAAATGGACGATTTAAACTTTCTTTCCGTCATTGTCACGATAAAATTAATCATGACACTTCAAAAATTGAGAAAATCCTCGATCAAATCTACATTTCCGGATATTTTTTTATGATTTATAATACTGCATCAATCAAATTGAGAAATTTTGTTTTGGAGGAGAAAAAAAATTGAATTTGCTATATCTCTGTCAATTATTGAGTTATATAACTCTGGCAGCGCTCATTTTTCTTCTTTTTACTTGGATTTTACGATGAGAAAATGAAAATGATACCAAAAAATTGTGAAGCAATATTTTAGATCGGTATATGCTGGAATCACTCATATATACTTGTTTTGTTACTGTTATATTGCTATATAGTTCATAGTTCTCCAAAGAAAAATTTGTACAGAAAAATACTTCATTTATTAGTGAATGAAATCTCATTTTAAAAAATAGAAGCAAGAAACACAGAGAGAGTGAGAGAATAAACAGCTTCACATTCAGTGGACATAAAAATAATGCAAAAATACCCATGAAAAGAGAAACTTCAAGATTTTCAGTCGAACAAATTGACTAAAATTCCTTTCATTTCATACCTAGGCAATAAAGGTCCCCCTTTTACCTCCTCTAGAGGCAGAGCTGTCTGAAAATCCACAAGATGTCGTGTGTTTATTAACATTCCCCTGTCATAACCAAATAAACTCTCGATTTGCTCCAAAAAATCACAATAACATAACAAAAATGACGAGACACGCGAGGAATTGTACAGCAGGTGCAGTGTACACGTACCACGAGAAGAAAAAGGATGCGGCAGCATCTGGATATGGTACAAATGCCCACAGGATTGGAAAGGACTCGGTGAAGGGATTCGATTGTTGTTGTCTAACTTTGCAGCCCTGCAGAAATCCCGTCATAACGTAAATTAAATATTCAATTTAAATATTGATTTTCACTCATATTTAACACATTTTTTAATTTAATTTAAAAAAAACATTCATTTGAAGAGAGTGACGACACTACTTTTTTTAATATTCATAACTCCGGAAGAAATTTATAAATTGGAGTCAATCATCAGAGTCATCACAAAAGGAAACAATGCTCTTCTCCCTTGAAGAAAAATATCTCATTTCAATGAAAATTAAATGAACTATTGATGTTTAAAAAAAAATGAGTGTCCATTTTGCTCCATTAGCCCCTAAATATTGCATATAATAAAGTAAATATCTAATAATCCATTCAACATTAAATTTCATTCTATAGAATTAAATAAATAGAATAAATAAACAATTAAATTAACGCTATCATAATGTCTTCATTGTAGTCCTGATGGTTATCTATTCGACAAAGAAGCTATTTTGGAGTACATATTAACCAAGAAGAGAGAATATGCAAGAAAATTGAAGCAATATGAATTACAAAAGCAGAAAGAAGAGGTGAGACTCACCGAAATTACGTTAAACCTCTAGAAACCGCAACTTAATTAATTACAAATGAATTATCATCATCTGAACATGAATACAGTGAATATGAAATGAATTCTGTTCTACCCAGGAGGAATCTAATGAGAAAACAGCGACCGAGGAGCTCCAGAAGCTCCAGAACTTCTTCAAATTCGAAAAGAACATCGTCCCATCCAAAGACGAGACAAAACCCAGCTCATCGATCTCGAACATGGCTGAGGGACGAGAGAAGACTCTTCCCAGTTTCTGGATTCCATCTAAAACTCCAGAGGCAAAAGCCGCACCTTTAAAGAAACCTGACAAAACCATCTACTGCCCTGTCAGTGATAAACCCCTAAAACTCAAGGATTTAATCAATGTGAAGTTCACTGAGGTGAAAGATCCTGATGACAAGAAATCTCTCATCGTCAAGGAGGCCAGGTACATGTGCCCCATCACGCACGATGTTCTCAGCAACAGTGTACCATGTGCTGTCATAAAAACCACGTAAGCTTCATTAATTCATTAGTGCGATACGCGTTGATTTTATGATGAATAAAATATCAATTTTTTTCACAGGGGAGATGTGATTACAATGGAGTGCTTCGAGAAGCTTATAAAGAAGGATTGGATCAATCCTTTGGATGGAAAGATCATTAAAGAAAGCGATGTTATCCCCCTTCAAAGGGTAAATATTTCTCCAAAATATTTTCTGATTTTCTGATAAAAGATAAAAATTTTCAGGCGTTCTAATTTCATAAAAATTCTGTTTTATCTATCTTTTCCTTTTCTTGTAAGTTATTTGTAAATAAAAATTGAATTATTACTCACAATTTTGATTCTATTGGAATAAATAAATGAATATTAAACTTATAAAGAATAAAAGGAGGTGAAGAAAAAATCTCTCTTGATTTTTAAAAATTCCTGACAAAATAAAATTCTGTTTCAGGGAGGAACTGGTTACTCAGCTGTCAATGACAATCTCGAGGGAAAACACGAGAGACCAGTGTTACAAGTATAAATTATATATTTAAAATTCCATGAATGTATTATAGTGAATTTCGAATAAAGAGTAAAAGAACCGACAGAATAAAGCAAAGACTCCCTAATTAACAAGATGAAAAACGATGGCTGTAACTGGCTATTAATTCTCATCGAGATTCGACTCGAACGTTGATACAGAATTTGTATCTGCAGCTCAAGTGTTATGCAATATTCAACTTGCGTGCTGGAGTGCCGACGGCGTGTGTTACCTCATACTGATAAAGTTTTGCACGATGCGGTCATTTTCCCACTGAATGAGACCCAACCAGACTGCACATACACTTGAATCGAGACATTTAACTTCCGAGTAATTTTCTCCCCCTTTTTATCTCCTTTTTTGTATCTATCTACGTATCATCTTGTTCTTTTTTTCCTTTGATGTGGTTTACAATTATATGGAGGCCTTGAAGAAATTCTAATTCGCATCCATCTGCGTCTCGTGCGGAATAAATAGATTGGACCCTAATGAAGGCCTGTGGGAAGAGCAGCATGATGAGGTTGAGTTGAAGGTGTGATTCGAGAGGAGTTTCAAATTCTCTATAAAAAAATTGGTGAAACGTTTTCTGTCACCAATCTATTCCGCCAAGTCATGTCATGTTCATGGAATAAGAATTATATCTTGACTTAACTTTGATTATTTTATTTTTACTCATTAAATTTTTTTAAATGATGGGAAAATGTATTTTCATTGAAAAAAATTGAAATAAAAATAATGGAATTTTTTTTCTAATGTAAGAAAAGAATAAATAACTTAATAAATGAATACCTATCATTTTTTATATAAAGAAAATATATGTATATAATTTTCTTTATATATTAATTATATTCATATAATTCAAGATTGACACTTTGACCCCAGGTGAAAGAAAAAAATTTTTATTTCAACATATCTGGGGCCTCCGAGTGTTTCATTGGGCTCAGAATCGCTAGTAGATACGGCATCAACTTTCACTTGGCATAAAAATTCGATTTTGCCAAAAGTCGACTTTCCCCCGGGAAAAATCCAAGATCTGACCCCTTGGCCCCGAGTGAAAATTCAAATTTTTTATTTCGACATATCTGGGGCCTCCGAGTATTTCATTAGCATCAGAATCGTTAGTAGATACAGAATCCACGTTCACTTGGCGAAAAAACGAAAAAATCCGTAAAATAGTGGAGAAACAAAATTAACAAAAAATTGAATTGAAAATCATAGTGCTTTCGATTCGAATAGTGAATTCGATTTGAGGCATTTGAACTAAAAATCCTTCAATGGAATGAGTCGTATGAGAAGATCAAAATCTATTGATTGTTCACATAAAATATCTACTATCCGATATCTATATTTAAGAAACTAATCGAATTTTCAATTGAAATCCAGTCTAAATTCAATAGCATTTTTTTTCAACCAAAATCATTAAAGTATACGTCATTACAAACCACACTTCAAATGCAAATATTTCCTACCCAAAAGACGACCCTTTTCATCTGTCCACACACTGAAGTTCTCATAATGCCACTGAAGCGCATCCCCTACCGAATTTTACCCTCAATAAACCCGTGACAAGTGAACAAAAGGTGAATTAAGTCGAGTGGGGGGGGGGGTAAATTTTATTGAAATCTAGGAGAATAACAGTTGCAAATTGGCTCTGTTAACTACCCACCTTGTTACTACGCGCAATAGATAGAAGCCCTAGTGAAAATTCCCCTGGAATCGTCAAAACTGCCCTTGGAAAAATCGATCACTGAAGGTCAGAACTGATACACGACGTTTCCTGCATACATATCCGTATGAATGCTTGTCTGAATGTGCGTTGGAGGAAAGAAAAGTGGAAGAAAGGGACGTTTGAGATGTCCAGAAATTCTCCGTATTCAATTCATGATCATGTATGAATTTTCAATCTTTCGAATAAAAATTGGCTTGATAGGAGGAACATTAATTTTTGGCCCCTCAAATTTCTAATTTATGTTGAACATCGATGACTATCGATTAAACTTTAAACTTCGGTGCGGAAAATTAAAGGAGAAACATAAAATTTAGTTGAATTCTGCGTTTATGAAAATTTAGAATCAATTATTCTGTTGAATTTTCCTGTTCTTCATCGTTTCGAAACGTTGAATTTGAAGAACTTTATTTTCACACAATTCTTGATAAATGAATAGTTTTTAATGTATATTGTAATAGTACAGCCAGAGAACATTAAATTCGGTGAATTTGCAAATTCTCCGAAAATAAGTTGCTCTTCTCCAAAATTCTTATAAATATTACGAAAGTGAATATTACTTCTAAACTCAATATGCAATACTCTACCAATTGAACCATTCAAACAAACCATAGACCAATAACCACAATTAGCATCGTTAGAAATCCATAGACATAACTAGTTGATCGTTTGTTCGCGGCACTCATTGAAATTATATTTTGGGTTACCAGTAACAACGAAGACGAGTGATACAAAGAATGATACAGAGAATAGATTCCAAATAATAATAAAGATTCGACTGAGAAATAATTATTCATGAAATTCCTGATTTGTATTGAAGTTCCATGGATATTGGTTTGAATTTTAAATTTTAAATGAAAAACTGAAAAAGAAATTCAATTGAATTTTGAATACTCTAAAAATTACATTCAATTCTTAGGTGAAATTTCCTATTGTCCCATTTCAACAATTTAAACCGACTCCCGGTGAAAATCACAAACAATTGGGAAAAGTAATCAAATATCAGTACTAATTATTGGAAAACTACAGCCGCAGAACGCTAAATTCCCTGAATTTGCGGAATTCTCCGAAAATTATTCTCTCTTTCCCCGAATTACCAGTGACAATGATGACGCGTGATACAAAGAGTCTTCAAACGATCTGACGGTGACGATGCTTCCACAATGTCTCCCAATCACAATCATTCCGCATTGTAAACATTGTTCGACAGAGGTGATTGAAATTCCCGACGAGACATAGCTTTCAAATAATTTGAATAAAAAACATCATTTGATTGACAAATAATTATTCATGGAATTCCTAATTTCCATTGAAGTTCCACGAATATTGGTTTGAATTTTAAATTTAAAATAGAAAATCGAATAAGAAATTCAATTGAAAACTGAATACTCTAAAAATTACATTCAATTCTCAGGTAAAATTTTCTCTTGGCTTATTTTAATTGGAAAAAACTATCAAATATCGGTAATTATTATTGGAAATCTATAGTCTTAGAACCCTAAATTCCCTGAATTTACTAAATTCTCCAAAAATTATTCCCTCTTCCCCCAAATTCCTATAAATATTTCGAAAGTGAACACAACCTCCAAAATCAATATGCAATACTCCACCAATTAAATCATTCAAACAACCAAGTTACCAATCCACAGACATAACAAATTGATCGTTTATTTGCGGCAACTCATTGAAATAATATTTTGGGTTACCAGTAACAATGATGACGAGTGATACAAAGGGAGTCTTCAAACGGACTGACGGTTCTTTAGATTATGGAGAAAGAGAGAGAGAGAGAGGAGAGATCCGTCAACTGCAGCGCGGTTGTACACGACGTTTACATAACTCTCTGTTGGGTCAAATTGTTGTATAGCTCATGTTATCCGTTTTCGATTACGCAACTGGATATTCAGGAGCGTTCGCGCGCAATTCCGTGAACAAATATATATCCTAACGTGCATGAATTAATTGACACATTGTTTTTGTGAATCAATCCATCGAAACTTTGTCTCCGACAACATTCCCCTCACCCCCTCATGCCGCCCAACCCCCCGAAAATTCATTCCCTCGAGTCCTAATGATGTAATAAGAATAATTTAAATGAGATTTCATCTCTCGTGTCTTCAACATCTTTTTTTTCTCCTCTTAATCTGAAATGCACGTCTCGTCGAGCAATTGGCGAGCGCTGAGACAACAAATTAACTGCCAATTATTGGTCTCGAGTGAGTGGAGTTGACGTACCTAAGGATTTAATTCTTTATTCATCGTTTTGCCCTATGAAAAATAATTAGAAGATGCAGGGGATGAATAAAAAAACACAGACAGCAGGGGGAAAATTGTCCATCCAAGGAGAAAGGAAAGTATATCATCTCCACTGACCGGGTGTCGTTTTACCAATCACTCCGGGAAACACCATCGAACCGGAGGAAAAAGAGAATAGGCGAAAACCTTAGCCCCTTCGAGGGGTTTCGAATTTCTACGGTCCGAAAGACAGTGCGTGGAGAGGAAATAATAAAAATTAAGGGACAAATTTTGTCAATCGAGAGGTGTTAAGCTTGGCAAGATTAAGTTGTTGAGACTTCGAGGCGGAATAGACATTCTTATGACAGGAAAAAGGATTATTTTGTATCATCAAGAATTGAATGAATTATCGATTTAAAAGGAAGATCAAAAATTCAATAATTGAGGGAGGTTAAAATGCACTATTTTAAATCATTAATATCTCCTCATCAAATGGTGGGATTTGGATGAATCGAGTTTTTTTAATTATTTTTTTATTTGAGCATTAGCGACCTCAATACGAGGTCTATATTGGCTGTGAAATGGTATTTACAAGGTATATAGTTACATATACTTTTTTTCAATTTATATGTTTATGTATAAGATGCAAATTTGAGGCCTAATTATATTTTTAGTTCACGTTCTTAAAGGAACTTGTCAATGGATTTGATCACTACTTCCGAATACACACAGATTATTCGGGTCTTCTTGTGAAATTTGATGAATTATCTTTAAAATTGAAGAAAAAATCACTCAATTTCGCTCGGACGATCTAGAGTTATTGATAATTAAGAACAGTTCTTTTTGAATCTCTTCATATCGAGTTAATGATACAGTAATAATCAACAACAAGAACAGTTTTTCGAGAGACAGGGCGCGGAGAGGAAATAATAGAAAAAATCAGGGGTCAAATTTTATAAATCGCGATATATCAAGGTATATCCGTAGAAAACAGAGTTTTCTTACAATCGTCCGAAAGGTTTTTCATAGATAATGTTTATGATATTCCATAACTATTGAGAAAAAATTCTAACTAGCTGTATTACACAGTTTAACAACATATGAGGCTAGAAAAACTAAATAACTTATGAGAATGCAATAAATTAAGTCACTTAGATTTTTTCCGAAAATCCATAGGGATGGCTTTTGGGCTGGTAAAAACATTATCTTATACCATAAAAATTAAATGAATTATCAACCTAACAAGAAGGTTAAAAACTGAATAATTAGAAGGGAAAATTCACCCGCTTCACTCATTAATATTTTGAAAAAATATCTTTAAAATGAAGTTAAAAAAAATCGCTCAATTCAAATCTCCCGACCTCGATTTACCATCGATAAACAACAGTCCTTTTTGAATGAGGACTATTCACTCTTGAAAATACTCTCAATCCAAAAATTTCACATCATTTTATTTTCATGGATAATATCTCTCCATATCGAGGGAATGACACAGCAATAATGAAGAGCCAAAAAAATCCATAGAATCAACAAAAACAACAACAAATCCGATATTCATGGAATGACGAATGCAGTCGATTAATGGGGTAGCAGCTCGACAAACGAAAAAACTGGGGATAATGCGGTCACTTCAAACGTGCGCCCCACAATCACCCGACGATAATGACGTCGGCTACATCCAGAGGATAAACACATCCAACTGCATCCCTCTTTACCTTAATCAACGCTAATTAATACTGGCACAATCCATTGCATACGCATGTACAACTAATCCCATGTAACCTTCAGTTCCACCGCCCCCTGACCCCTCTTCCAGGATCCCTCCAATGACATATGGTTTTGATACTTTTCCTCATATGAAATTCAGAGGTAGAGTTGAAGAGGCGAAATATCCAAGGAAAAAACAGTCGAGGGGAGAAACTTTTAAGGGTTCTATATTGTATGACAATAGAGACATCGCGTCATTTATTTGCATTTCTTATTCGTTTTCTGATGGTGGGAGAGTCAGACAAAAATATTCATTTTCATCTTGTTTTGTTGATTATTATCAAGAAGACGTTTTTGTAAAAGTTATGCTGCACTTTTATGGAGAGAAAAGTTGGAGAAAAGTTACTAAATAAGTCGAGGAATCGTGGAACGAAATCTATTTCACTTGAAAAATTTACGGTACACTGTGAGAAATTTGTTAAAATTTCATGGAAAATATAGTAATAATTCTTATGTAAGTGACATTGAATCCGATTGCGGAAAAAATTGGCTATGAAATTTCAAGTTTTAGGTAGAATTCGGAGAAATTCATGAGTTCTCAGTGGGAGTTGCACGGAAATTTCACAACTTGACTGAATTTTCCAATGAACATGAATATTCAGAAAAAAAAATATCATGAATTCTCAATTGTTCTCTGAATTTTCCTTATTTTTCCGAATTTTCACGGAATCATTGAACAGAAAAATAGAAAAACATGGGTTAATAAATTTTTTTTATGATTAAAATGTTGAAAAAATCGAAATTTCATGCAGTTCAGTAGTAATTTTCAGAAGAACAACATTGAATTCGATTTATAGAGGCACAAATTCTGAAGTTTCAGGTTCAGTTAAGATTTCATGAACATTCATTATCATCATTATTATGAGGAATTCGCGATTGGGAAATTCAATGAGTGCAAAATTCTGAAATTTATTCATTTTGTTATTAATTTCCAGCGGCATTATCACCAATTTCTAATGACGTCGTCACTAATCTTCAGAGTAATTTCACTGATTTTCAGGGACCCATCTCTAATTTTTCGAAATGTATCCCAAAATTTCAGTAATAAAAACCACTGATTATCACCGATTATCATTCTAGTCCGTGTCTAGCATCACGAATAATTGGCGATACATCCCTGAGCATCAGTGACATGTCCTTGAAAATCAAAAAATTGTTTTCCCCCTGGAAAGATTCGCGATTGTGAAATTCAAGGAGTGCGAAATTATGTAATTCTGTGATTATCTCACCAATTTTCAGTGACAACATCAACTTTCATTGACGTCATCCCTAACTTTCATGAAAATGTCACTGATAATTGACGGTAGAATGCTGAGAGACAGTGACATGTCCCTGAAAATGAAAACAATTTTTTTCTCCCTGTCTGTCGCAAGCACAGGTGAGGGCTGTCCTCGCGAGAAGGGTGTCGCCCATCCACCCTCCCCATCTGCATTGGTGGGTGTTATTTCCTTGCATTGCAAATACAATCCGCGAGTGGATGCACACCAGGGCGGTTTTAGTCCACTCCCACCTGCGGCGTACTCCGGCGCTGTACGATAAGCGCGAAGGCAATAGACCCAGGTAGTTCAACAGATACTTACATTGACCACGTGGCTTCTACCACGCTCGTGTGCCCACAGCGCTCAAAGCACCGGAGGTCTCCACCTTTCCCATCGTGAGTTTATAGTTTAGTTTCCGCGTACTCAACCGCCGGTCAACAGTCATTATCGCGATATTACGATAGTGATAGGGGGAGTGAGGGAATTTTTTAAATCAGTTTTGACGTGACACCTGTTGGATAATTTAACGAGAGACTGGAGGAGCCTGGGAGATACGACCTTGTGCTTCTCGTTGGAGGGTGGCGGGGCTCCAGCACAGAGGGACAACAATGCGGAACTATCCCCTAACATCACGTGCTGGATGTACGGCCTCTTCGGTAAGGAAATGAGGAAGCGAATTCTATTTTACCGAGAAGCTTTTTTTCCTTCATTCAAGGAGACAATTTTTTTTATTTACAGTTTTCCCCTCGATTTTTTATTTCGTTATTATTGTTCACTCAGGAATATTTTTCCTCTTCAACACTGAAATATCATTAACGTTCAAACAAGACTAATTTCCAAACGAGACTAATTATTTTTGAATTCGTCATAATATTTTTAACTTTGAGAAGTCATGATCTCCCCAATGTGTAGTGAAAAAAATCTTACTACAAATGGCAAAACGTTCCCGACGAAAATTAACAATTCGCATCAGCGAATTTTCATTTATTGAGAATTTTTCTTTTCGATCAAAGAAACATGTTTTCGTTGAAGTTTTTTATCTTCGATTTTTCATTTTGTTATTCTTCACTCAAGAATACTCATGAATTTTTTTATACTTGGTCTAATTTGATATTCAGTCTTCCAACGAGATTAATCGATTTTCAATTCTCCACAATATTTCCAAGTTCAAAAAACAAATATGTGGAATGTTTTTAATGTCTAGTTATCATCCCCTCGATCTGCACTTCTGAAAGAAGCTCTTCTTTCATTCAAGGAAACATATTTTTTCTTGACATTTTTTTCTTCGCTTTTTTATTTTGTTATTCTCCCAAGAGCAATACTTCTCCATGATTGCTATTTTCTTTTTGAGATCCACTGGGGAGTGGACCAGAATCACCAAATGATCGGCTTACTTACTTACTTACTTACTTACTTACTTACTTACTTACTTACTTACTTACTTACTTACTTACTTACACTTCCGACAGACTTCCCCCCGAAAACCCAAAGATATTTCATCCAAGCCTTAGCAGCGCAATATCGTAACGCAAAATAAATAAATAAATAAATAAATAAATATCCTTCCACGCGCAGAAGAACAATTCACCCGTTCGTCTGTCATCTTCTATCAAATTAAAAAAACACATAGGATTAACTGAGAAATCGTTGCACTTCGAACATTGCGCAAATCTGTATATGTATCTACACGCGGCCTCTCACATTACCCCCGCTCCTCCGCCATCCTATCAGTTATCCATAGATATACAAGCGCAAGTAGTAGCACTAGTCGCATAAATCGCGCAATTAAAATAATTTCCCGAATTTATCTCTCATTGAAGATGAGAGCAGACTGCCGTCGAACGGGGGCACAGGTGTCGATGGTCTCACCAGGTATTCCGATGATCAAATGGTCGATGATACCACCAATAATCATCGATCTCTGAGCCGCATTTTGTGTATCAATAGCTACGATACGAGAGATACTGCGGAAGTGAATAAGAGTGAGATAAACAAAGTGACTGACAGTAGGCCGACTGACGGCCTGGATCAACTGTTGAATTTTCATCGCACAAATAATAACAATAATCGAGAGATGGTGGCACAAGACATGGCCCAGAGCTACAATCAGCTCTTCCATGCTGCCCAAGAGCCACAGGATTTTGTGTCACTCGAGGAGCTCAGGCCGCAAGTACATCATGGCCAGAATGTCGTTGTAGCTAGTGGTACACATATTTATCTCAATGAGCGGGATAATGAGCATGGACTGCGGACTTATTTCAATCTCGCTACACTTCCAAAGTAAGTGGAGTTGTAATCAGAGCCTTTTAATTGACGATTAATCCCATTACATCGATCAAAAAATAGCAATCGAAAATCCACGCGAAATTGACATTGGATTTTATTTTCGACGAGTCAAGTAAAAAAATCGTATTTCGCTTTTCTTACGAGATTTCGGAATTTTCATGATTATTTATAGGTGCGTAACGAAGAATAATGACAAATAGCTATGAACTAATATGAACTGGGAAATGATGTTAGAAATGTCATCATTATCGGATGTTTCTGTCAAAATATCAACTATAAAATCACCGGAAGGAAAAATTTGTATTAAACTTTATCTCTAAACTCTATTAAAAAAATCAGAAAGTCAAAGAAAACTTTGGTGTCACATAAAAATGTCAAAAAATATTGCCATCGTGTTTTATCTCTAGATTTCAGGGATAATTATGAAGATTTTTTTTCTCTATGCATGACAATAATAAAGAACAAACATAAAAATGTAAAAGTTCGTTGTACGACTGCATCTATTCCTATTATGAAATGCACAACAATGTTAAGAACTTTGTCATCCAATATTTTTATAAAAATATCAATTAAAAAATGATACCAAACGAGATTTATCTTGAACCCTATCTTTAAACTTTAGTAAAAAAATGCCAATTGTCAATGAAAAACTTTTTTTTCGCATAAAAATGTAAAAGTTCATTGGACAACCGCATTTATCCCTATTATGAAATGGAAAATAATGTTAAAAACGTGTGATCGTGATGTCGTGACACTGCCATAAGTACTGGGTCAATCGTGGGGACAAGCGTCGCGTCATCGACGCGCGACGATAGCACGGGCCCCACACTCTACTCTATTTTCTTCTTCGCTACTCGTTCATTTTTTTTCCTTCCATCATTCGAAAATCGTGTGTGCGCATACGAGGCTACGATTGCAATTGTCGTATACTTATTTCCCGCTTGTTTCTCCTGATTCTTAACTGGCGCATTATGCAACGCTAAGCCGATAGAGCCCCGGTGAGATTAGTCATGAGGGGTTTATTAGATTTTCAGTCTGCCTGCATCAGCAATTCACGAGACATTTTTTCATTCAATTTTTTTCCCATTCAAATTTTACTTATCCTAGTTTAGCGGATGCAGAAACTCATTTGTTATTTGGAGCTGGTTTGCAAGGGCCATTGAATTGTTGCATGATATTTTTACTTGTTGGATGAAACGATAAAACAGGAAAATTTAAGGATATCGAAATACTTTGGCAATTTTTTTGTTTGAACGAAATGCTTTTCTACTTTTGCAGTCGAACATCCGAACTTTCATTTCAGCCTCATTTGACCTTAAGTTATCGCACATTTTACGAGTATTTTATTAGTCAAACTTTGACGGTCTGAATTTTAAATGCATGAAATAATTAAAAAATTGCGATTTTTGAAGATTACGAGCATTTTTCAAAATAATTTATGAATAATATATTTTCCACGATAAAAATAATTCCTTCGGAATCGTAAATCATTTATTCATGTTCAGAATTTTATCAGAAATCGATTTCATGGCCAAAAAAATAAAGTTTCCGAAGTTGACAGTTGAAATTGCTATTAAACAATTTCAATTATTTATTTGTAAAAAAGGAATGTCTAAAAACATAATGATTCTGTGCTATCGATTAAAAACGTAATTATTCCATCAATGTTTCTTTTTTTTTATTACAAATTTAATACATATGAAATCATTCGATTTTTTAACTGTTGCATGAAATTTTCATTTATTAGACAGAACGATGAAATGCGGGAGTCGAATGAAAAATATTGGGCACGTATCTTCTTTACTCCGATAAATAATGAAAAATTTATTTAAAAAACGAACAAAAACTTAATTATCTTATCAATTTTTCGTCATTTAACGAAAAAAAACGCATCTCATACTTTTCATCAATTTTCATATTTAAAAAATCATGCAAAACCCCAATTGTATTTTTTTATGATTGATAAATTCAATACAGCTGGGATCATTAGATCTTTATACTGAAATGAGTCTTTCACTCGTGCGGAGTTAGTTGCATCATGATTGACATACACGGAACTCGTTAGTTGGACTAGCGCGGCGTTTACCAACGGACAAGTATCATCAGCGTATAGCCCATTCCGAGTGTATCAAGTTGACGGCCTTGATTCCCCACATTTTCCCAGTAGAANTCCACATATTATTATTAACTACAATAAACAAATGGTTAATTGTTAATTGTCTTGCACTCAATACGCTAATAGATATTAGTTTTGTCAAGTTTTGTCGGCCTTTAATAATCTGCTAAATCATCTTCCAAGGGTGGAAACTCGGTCGAGCGTGAGAACCACTGCTTTCCTATTTTCGGCAAACGAATTTTCGGCTAGCTTCCACTCCATGAAAAAAACTCACGATATATCGCCAATTTATGTGAATACATTTATCGATCGAACCGGGCGAAAATTACATTTAATTGCGATTTTTTCTTCTAATTAATAGTATCAAAGAGGGTGATTCTCATGATTCAGACGGCAAAAAAGAATTAATTTGTGACACTGTCATCTTTCGATAATTGTGAATGGACTCGTCATGAAAGATTTATGACTGCAGACTCATTGATTCCCTAGGATCGATCAAATAGATAAAAAATTGAGGAAAAAAAGCGAATGAAGTTGAAAAGAAAAATCTAGTGAATTCAGTTCTTGGATATCTTTCAATTTTTCTTGACAGTGAAATCCGAACCCAGAATGCAGGAATCGATGGAGACAAATCCCTAGCACCCACCTCAGTATCCCCAATCTCTCCACCAGCAAAAACAGAACTAATAGCGGAATCGAATGAACAAAGCCACCATCAGGGAGATAAACCCTCTAACACGTCAGTAATGCACATTGGCCAGCAGCCAGCAGCATCTAGTCATCGAAATCACCACCACCAGAGACATCATCACAAGCAGTTTCAGAAAAGTGACTCTGGGAGTGAACACCCCAGCGACTACTCACCGGGCTCCAGAAAAAGAAAGCTCTCGAGTCAGTGAGTAATTTGTCTTTTTTCCGAATGTTATAAAACGTGAAGATATGTTTTTAGAAAATGTGGGCAAGTGGGTATGAATGTCCCTATGTCTCTTTACAGAAAAAAGAGTAAAGTTGAAGCTAAAAATCTGAAATTTCGTTCCATAATTCTATATTTTTTAAAAACATTTTTGGGTGAAATACAGCAATTTCTCAAAAATATTTTTCTCTCAGTATCTCCAAAGTGCACAAAATATTGCTTGTGATAATATTTATCAAATAAAATCACAATGTCCTTCTGATAAATTCAAGTTAGTTCCTCAGTTTCAACTTTAAATTATTCTTTAATTAGTAATCCACTGAGTAGATCAACATCTTATGTAGAGGTGCAAGAGTATTTGAATCAAATGAAATTATTTATTCAAAGGTTTTCTGTTTGTTTCAATGAAAATATTTCAATTCTGGGGAAATAATTCATCCAACCCAAATACAATTCAATTTAATTAACAATTTAATTTTTAATGAATAAAGTCATTATGACAACTATACATTACGTGTCACAACTCCAAACTCTTAACAATTCTGTAATTTCGTATGGTACTATCGATATAAATTCTACTGTCCTCTTTCACTCCGGGATTCATAATTTTATTTGACCCAAATAAACAATTATTACATGTTCGTAAATTCATTCTCTTCATCGTCTCAACAATCGTTTCATTATAACTTCAAATCACCTGCCTCAAACCCCAAACTCTAAATCATTTCATAATTACCAAACAAATGAGTTGATCAAAACACCAAAGACGATGGTATCTTTACTTGAATAATTTCATTTAACCCAAATCAACAATTATTTTATGTTAATAAATGAATTCTGTGCGTCGTTTCGACAACAATTTCATTTTTAACGAATAAAGTTTTTATTTGGATCAAATAAACATGGGTGGATGTTTCCCTCGCAGGTCTAGACTCCTTGGAACTTCTTAAAAGTCAAATTAAGAATCATTTCATTATGGTAACTTTAAATCACTTGTGTCAACTTTAAACTCTAAATCATTCCATAATTGCCAATCAAATGAGTCGATCAAAACATCAAAGACTATGTGGCCTTTACGATTCTCACGGGATGTGTCTGGTCTCTCGTCCCACCCGGTTGACTCTATCCGGCGCTTACACTTGACCTGCAACCCATCAAGAAATACCCCACACCCATCATACGAAGAAATTTCGTATTGACAGAGCTACACGCTCATATTCCGTATGAGAAGCCCCTCAACAGTCTCTACGTTTGTTTATACATTCTGCTCGCGTCGCGGTGCAAACCCCGGGGGGGGGGGGGGGGGGAGAAGAGGGAATAATGACGAAAGTGAAGCACCATAAGCGACAATGTATTCACCCCTGCAAACTTGAGTTCTAGAAATTGGTGGAAACTTAACTCAAAGTGAAAATGTAGAAATACGTCACAGAGGGAAAGAAATTTCGAGTTTCAGGAGCATTTCTCAGATTTTCAGGGATCCATAACCAATTATTAGGGACATGTCAGTGATTTTCAGGAATATATCCCCAATTATTATACAGAGAAAAGAAAGTTTTCCTTTTCAAGAGTGCCAAATTCTGGAATTCTGTGATTTTCTTATTAATTTTAACGAGACATCGTCACTAATTTTCAGGGACATTATCACTAATTTCCAGAGTAATGTCATTCATTTTCAGGGACCCGTCTCCAATTTTGAGATATTTAACATTAAATTTCAGTAATAAAAATCAGCGATGATCAGGCTCATTCTAGTTAGTGTCCAGTATCACACGGAGGGCAATTCTCTAGAAAAATTCTGGAGCTAACACGGGAAAAAGGGCGTAAAGTAACGGCCCGGCAAAAATTCCAGTGGCGGCACTAGAAATTTTATTGAGTAGCACGTGAACTGTTCCTTTCGTGTTCTTACATGAACAAAATTTTGATTTCCAGGAAAAATTCCCTGATTGTCAGGCATCCATTCCCAATTATTCGGGATATGTCAGTGATTTTCCGGAATCTATTCCCAGTTATTACCCAGAGGAAAGAAATTTCCCATTTTCAAGAGCTATCTCCGATTATTACGGACTCACGATTGAGTGTAAAATTCCGAAATTCAGTGATTTCCTCATCAATTTTCAGTGACATGACATGGTCATTAATTTTCAGAGGTATCATTAATTTCTAGAGTATATAATGTCATTGATGTTCAGGGACCCGTCTCCAATTTTTAGAAATCTATCACTAAATTTCAATGATAAAAATCAGTGATCAGGGCCATCCTAGTCAGTGTCCAGTATCACATGGAGGGCAATTCTCTAGAAAAATTCCAGTGCTAGCACGGGAAAAAGGACACAAAGTGGCAACACTAGAACTTTTCCCGTTTTTACATAAAATTTTCGCAAAAATCCCAAGAAATTGTACCTTAACAGCACTAGAATTTTTCACAGCCGTTGGATTGGGATTTTTTCCAGTACCAGCGCTGGGATTTTTCTGAAGAATTTCTCTCCGAGCACCAATAGATTTTTCTCCATCATCATTCTCGCAGTCAATTTCCCTCGTTCTTTCAGGGATGAGAGTGATATCCTGGACGATGCCACAGACGACGCTAAGTCCACGCGAACAAATACCGACAGCAAAAAGTGAGTACAACTCCGATTATGAAATATTTTTTCGCATCGCGTAATTCATTAAAGCACGTAGTCGAGGTAATACGTTTACTATTAAGTAACTTGGCACTGAAAAATGCAGATACGCATTTAATGACAATTGTAACCTTGGCCTACCTTGACTCCTCGGCAATGCAAGTTGGCTTCGTGACGTTAACCGACTCTGACAAAGCCCAGTCGATGAAGTAAACGTCTACAAAGAGGATCATGGAATTATGTCAATGAATATATTTTACGAAGTGGGAGAAGGCGGAAGAAGTCTAATATTATTCTGCGGATATTTGAAGAACTACGGGCTTTAGAAGAAAATGTCAGAAGCTCTTTTTACAAGTTCATGAAATTCCCTGCAAGAAATGTTTTTTAACAAATTTCTGTAAACATCTCCATTTGGAAGATTTTGGTCATTGGATTATTTAATGGAGTTCATTGCATTGCGAAATGCATTGTTAGGAAATCGATGAATGAAATTTTGACAACAATCAATTCAGGGGAAATTTCCAGGGATGTTATTGTCCAAATTTCACAATAGAATTGAAAATTCAAGCTCTCATTGCAATATTCATGTCCGATTAGCATCAAAACAGTCTGTTTCATGACAAATTTCAAAAACAATTCGCTCTTGAATCGAATTTACGTATCCTTGTCCCTCAAATTTAAAACAATTCCTGGAGAACTGAACAAAAGTCCGCAGAACACTAATATTATTTCGTTGATAACTGCAAAACTAGTACATTAAGAGAAAAATGTAAAAAAATATTATTGCAATCCATGAGATTTTCCCCAAAGAAAGTCTTTTCCTTAATTTCTCCAAATCCCTTCCTTTGTAATTGGGAATTCTGGAGCAAGCAAAGAACGAAAGAACAGAAAGAAAGCTCCAAGAGCCCCTCACTATATACATGAGAATACAGTGGGTACTCCCTAGGATTTCAGCTTCGGGGATACGAAATCCACGAATTCAAATGATTGGGAAGCCCCTACTCATGCGTCAACGGTGTGACGGCGGAAGAAGAGAAACAGAGAGAGAGAATCGGTCTGTTCCGTCTGTATCGCCAATGGTCCTACTACGCATTCCTGTCGCACAGAGGAGCACACACACTACTTACACACGCTTCGATTAGTGATAGAGGGAGAAGTCAACTTCCCCACTTCCACTGAAATCTTACAGTGTTAAAAATTTTTGTCTGAATTTTTCGTGCCAAATTCCGGATATTTTTATCGTGTTGCAATTCCATTGAAATTTCAGGAAATCTCGTCATTGAAAATTCACAATGTCGTAGAAAAATTAAAGAGAACTGTAAATTTCCGTTCCATTTTTCCCTGAAAATAAATAGAAAACCAGAAAATTCTGGTAAATATATTCTTGAATTTTCAGGGCAGTTACACTAAATGCGATTTAAGGGGAAAAAAATCATTAAATTTCAGATTTCACTAAAAAGTCAATGCAATTTGACACTGAATATTCATATTAGATTGGAAATTCAAATAAATTAAGGAATTCTCGTCTGTATGCCCCTTATAATTCTGGAATTTTATTGAATTTTCAGTGAAACCTGAAATTTCATGATTTTTTTTCCCTAAATCACATTCAGTGTCACTGTCCTAAAAATTGGTAGTCAACTGTCGGTGAAATTTCATTTTTTTCTAACAGTGGAGAGAAGCAAAATCACAGGGAGTATCCACTATATGCTTGGCACTTTCCTTCTTTTATAAAAAGGGATATAATCAGTAAGAAATAACAACAACATCCTCTATACATCAATATGAAATTGCCTGGAAATGTGTCTTAATTCATTCCCTCAAGCCAATTCTTATATTATGTCGAAGAACAAGTTTTCCAATGGAATGAGAAGAAAGAGGAGAACATTCCGAAGAAAATCCTGATCTTATTTCATGAATGAGACCTCCAGAAAACTGAACCCCATCATAATCTTTCAGACAAAATCACAGTGAAATTGAAAAGCGACGGCGTGACAAGATGAACACCTACATAACCGAGCTATCATCGATGATCCCAATGTGTCACGCAATGTCCCGAAAACTGGACAAATTGACGGTCCTCCGAATGGCTGTGCAGCACCTGAAAACTATCCTCGGAGCAGTTACCTCGTACTCAGAAGGTCACTACAAACCGGCCTTTCTGAGTGATCAAGAATTAAAGACCCTCATCCTGCAGGTAAATCATGTAATTGCGACAAAACTCACAGGGGAGGGAGAAGTGGTACCTGTACCGCTCAGGGGTAATACCGCTCACCCGATGTTCTCCGCAATCACGTGCCTTTCTACCCTTTTTCTTTTCCAATACCGAGGATCCGATGTCACAAAATATTTACCACGGAAATTTCACACTTTCCCCATTTTTAATTGAAAAGGGCATTCTTCGACATTTTTATTAGGTCCTTCCACAGAGGGAAAAATTGGATAAAAATTACCTAGAAAATCGTGGCAAATTTTACTGTATGAAAGGTTATCTCGGAGCGAAATGTAATTCAATGAAAAAATACCTGTTTACGGCGGGCATTTTACGATTCGTTCGGTAAAAAAAATACATCTGTGGAATTTCCCACACCGGTGGGGGATTTTTTTTCTTACACCCATTTTAAGGGCGTGTGGATGAATGGAAGCGAAATGTTGCCGAATGCGTTCGGTAAAAAATCAGCCTGTTACAGAAAAATTATATGCAATATTGAGCAATTATTCACGTTCACTGGGATAATTTTTGATGGAATGGAGGGTAAATTTTACAGTTTCGTCACAAATTACCCTCGAGTCCAGTAAATTTTCCCGGGCCAACGGAGAATAATTCACTATTCGTCTCGCACTTTTTCCCTATAAAGGGTGAAAAAGTACTGAAAATCGTGTTCACTCTATGATTACTTAACTTGGTCAGTAATTCTTCTCCGTGTACAGTGTTAAATCCAAAAATATGACTATTCGGTCAAATAACGTTACTTTTTCAATCAATTTTCCTGATTTCTATTATTTTCATGGAATAATTGAACTGGAATTTACCGTCCCCTTCATTTTTCCACCTGACTATAAATTTTCCATGAAGAAATTCCTTGAAATTGCAGTGCAACTGTCACGTGATAAAAATTCCCAAGAAGTATACCGGAAATTTCATTAAAAATGTTGACTATTGTGTGTTAAATACTTTCTAGAGAGCGATTTCATGTCTTCCCAGTGAAAAATCGATTTAATTCATACAATCCCGCGATTTTACGCCGCAAAATTTCTCCATTGAACACAATCGTGCGTTTATAATCGGAGAATGTCAAGATAACCATTGAAAAAATCCTTGTTCATTCAAATATTCTTTTTTTCAAATACGTGAGAATAATCTTTCTCATTCAGACTTAAGATTTCGGATGCAAGAAACATCATTACTCCCCAGCGCACATGCACCGTCGACCCCACGTCCGTTTGAAGCTCAAAGTTATTCCCTCTGTAACTCTGGGCATCTGTAGGACTTCTCTAGTACCCAACTACCCAACTAAGTTTCACGATTGCACAACAGCGAGTAACATTACAGATATTCGCATATCCACAAATACCTGATTATTAATTTATCATTATTTTTCTTTCATTTTTCCCCCCTCCGATTCCACGCTGATATGAAACACTGTATTTTTCAATAACGCTGGTAATGGTGTTATCTATAAATCTAAAGCTTTCACATGCACTAGTAAAGGAATTAGGTACTGTAACATTGGTACATATCCTGGACCACACCCAGGAATACCAAAATACCAGTATACCTTGTGTTTAATGCGATTGTTCTAACAGATGGGTATATATAGATAGAATTGGATTAAGTGGCCTCAGCAACTCGCGTATCCGTGTATTTTATATACCTATACTTTATACATACAGCATTATGTAGTGTAATCGTTGAACTGCGCTACGGTTCAATGACTGCGAAAATAGATATAAAATTTCTTTCTTACGTGGAGTTGAGTTGGGGGGATATTATGCGCGTGTGTAGGCACGACCTTTCTTTTCCCTTTCTATACTTGCCATTTACCCATGTGCTAGAACCCCGCATTTTCATGATAAAAGATTTTCATACATCGGTGGAATTTAATTGATCATAAATCTCTGGAGTTAATATGCTGAAGACTGTAATTAACTCGCTGTTAAAAATGACGTTTGATTTATTGTTACTGTCATTTTCGTGTTGAATGATGTTGGATAACAAGGGGTCATTGAATTTTGTTACAGGCAGCTGAAGGCTTTGTTTTTGTCGTTGGCTGTGATCGAGGAAGAATTCTATATGTCTCTGAATCTGTATCAAAGACACTCAATTATTCTCAGGTATGAGGGTTAGTGTCGCTATTTGAGGATATCCAAGCACTTGGTCTAGTTTTTTTCCTCATTTATGTCTTCGTTTAATTTATAAACAATCAGTTTAGCAATATATTTATTATCTGTTATCCTAATTTTATCGGAAATTGATGTGACGAAAAAAAAGGTTTGGAGAGTTGAAACTTTTTTCGTTATTGATTTATAGAAAGGGGAATTTGTAAAAATAACTAATTTCTCGCAAAATTTAATGTGCGATGAACATCTATGATTTTGTTTTCCAAATTTAATTAATTAAAATTAATTAATTCACTCATGTATGTCTTTAAATTTACATGTTATAATTATACGAAATAAATGGTTCAACTATTACATGTAATTAAATTCGTTTTCTTTGCCGTCTGAAAAATAATTGCACGTATTAATTATAAAGTGTATTAGTTATAAACTGTGTACTTAAGCGACGGGCTATTCAGAACTCACAAAAGTATTTGGAAAAAGTAAAGAAATGAATGCTAATACCTCAGTTGAAAAATCAAAATGTCGGGTTATATGGAACTCATTGAGTATTTCGCTCAGGGAAACATTTCTTCATATAAAAAAAATAATTTCTCCATGTGCACCAATGTTAATTGACAAATTTGATGACGAAAAATCTCCAAATGTAAATAGTACTTGGATATCCTTAACAAATAATTTGAAGTCACCAGAGTAATACTGAAGAAAAAAGAGGGGGATGCATGCGTCTCTTTTCCAGGACGAATTATTGGGTCAGAGTTGGTTTGACATACTCCATCCCAAAGACGTTGCTAAGGTGAAAGAGCAACTGTCGTCCGAGCACAGCCCCCGTGACCGATTGATAGACGCTAAGAGTGAGTCTTCATTATTAATGCATTTAATAACTATTCCCCTCGAAATGTCAGCCCATTTGATATTTTATGATATGAAATTTAATCGGAATGTACGCTTACGCGAGAAATTGACATTTGAAAAATTTCATAATCACGAGTGTACGCTGATGTACTCAATATTTCATCCATTTTAATTGATCAGCTATGCTACCAGTGAAAACAGATGTCCCTCAGGGTGCTACGAGACTCGGTCCAGGTGCGAGGAGATCGTTCTTCTGTAGAATGAAGAGAAAAGTCGATGCCAATTGTGGCGAGTCTCAAGTTAAAGAGGAAGCTGATACAACGACCGGGGGACATAGGAGAAAAAAGCAACAAAATTCAGGTGATATTTGAGTTTGTTAAACCAATAAACAAAATAAATACGATTAATAACAATTAAATAGTTCATGGACCTGAAGAGGAAGGTTTTTTCTTTTCTGCTCCTGTTAATTTTGTATTGGACCGAAAATAATCACCGAGAATAGTCAATATTTTGAAATTCAATATCTATTTGAGGATTATCAAAGTGAAAATTGATGAAAACATTGAAGATAATTGAAGATAAGTGTCTTTCTTCAAGTGAAGCTGAATGAAAAAATAACGCATTTAAATAAGAACGGAGTTTCTATCCCATCGGGATTGTTATCGTATTAAACTCAACTGCTAGCGAAAAAATTGAAATTGCAAGAAGTGTTTAGTGCGTATTTTCAGAAGAGGGACATTCAATTCGATTTAGGTGAAAAAATTAATTCAATTTTTAATTTCACTGAAAATCCAATGGAATGTCAATTTTTTTGCAGCAAGAAGACGAGAATTCCAAAATTTATCCAAATTACTAATTAATCGAAGATTCAGGAATATATTTACCTGAATTTTCGTGATTTATGTTAATTTTCATGGAATAATTGAACTATAATTTTGAATTTACGAAATTACTTGGAATTTCAGTAAAATTATAACGTGATTGAAAAAATTCCGTTAAGTGCATCCGAAATTTCCCCCCAACGTTTCTCACACTGTTCATTTTGCATAAAAAAATATTTAAAAAAATGTTGGACACTTTTTAATCATCAACTCGACGGGTTCGAGAATATCTACGACCCTACGAATGTATATTTGTGTCTATGAACTTCAATGGGATAAATTCCACTTCTGCATAGTGGAGAATTCAGATCAAAGTGTTCACACAAGCCCAAGAATCTTTTGTTAGGTCTCTATGGAGAACTTACAATCGGCTTAACATTCATGGCTATTTTTTCACGCCCATTCACGTCTCAGGATTTCTTTTTCTCAACATTTCAAATACAATTTAAAATGCAATTTTAGATTGGAAATACTGTGTGACACAGTGCACAGGCTACCTGAAATCGTGGGCTCCAGCGAAAATTGGAGCTGATCAGGAGCAGGAAGGGGAAGGCCTAGAGGGCGAGAATTGCAATCTCTCGTGTCTCGTTGCAGTTGGTAGAGTAACACCGAGTTTACTTGAACTTTCACTGGGTATGGGATTACCGAAGCTCAATACCATCATGTTTGTCACACGCTACGCCATCGACGGAAAATTTATATTTGTCGATCAGATGTACGTAATCCATACAAATAGGGCAGTCGGATTTGAATAGAAATATGCACATGATAATCATGATTTTTCTTCTTTTTGGGGCCTTAGAGCAACGCTTGTTCTGGGATTTTTACCGCAGGAGCTACTGGGGACAAGCATGTACGAGTATTATCATCACGATGATATTCCACATCTCGCTGAATCGCATAAGACTGCACTCCAGACGACAGACCACATAACGACCCAGGTAAAAACAAATTATGATGCATTATTCATTGGTGAATTCGTTGGATAATCGTTTTTGTTTCATCGATCTTTCTAGGTATACAGGTTTAGAGCAAAAACAGCGAGCTTTGTTCGACTGCAGTCTGAATGGTTCGCATTTAGAAATCCATGGACCAAAGATATCGATTACATCATTGCTAAGAACTCAGCGATATTGTAATTCTATTTTGTTTTCAACATTGCGGTTTTGCTGGAATTATTTTTTTGTTACGAATAGGAAATATTGTGGATTCCTGAGGGTCTCCGAGTACTTCTCACAGTCTGATATCATATTTTGCAAAAATTTCTGGATATTTACCATTTTTTTACAATTTCTAGAAAATTATTTTTAGTGTAAAAATTTACCTTTTCTGAATTGATTTTTTTTCTGATTTTTTAATGTTTCTCAACGGTTAAACATTGAGAACCAAATTTACAACTTTTACATTTAAATAATAAAATCATTGCAAAATGAGTTCAATAAAAAAAATGGTTCAAGTACTTGGATCTCCATTCGTGTTCTATATTGTTAGAAAAAAAAATTGAAATTTCATGAACTGTTCAGTAGTAATTTTGAAGAAAGCGACGCTGAATTAAGTTCAAGGGGTAAAAATCATGACATTTTAAATTTCACTGAAAAATCATTGGAATTCGACGAGAGTTCCTCAACTTTTTTCCAAAATTCAAAAATATATGCATCTAAATTTTTCTGATTTGATGTTTTCATCAAATCATGAATTTTCAACAACGAAATTTCATTAAAAAATTTGGATTTTAATGGAAAAAATTCTATGCAAAACCCCAATTTAATTTCTCATTCCCTAAAGTTCCACAGATTAATAAATGTTCTCATTTCCAATAGTTGTGATGCAGGACAAGTGGAAAGCAGTGCAGCCCCCAGATCAGAGGGCTCAAGTGTCCAAGGGAACTACGATTACTTTGCTCAGAGTAACGGTGGTCTCGAGAGATTAATCTCTAGTCATGTGGAAGTAAGTAAAATAGGGAGGCGAATAGCCGAAGAAGTGCTAGATCATCAAAGGCGGAATGAAGACTCCTCATCAGGCAGTCCACTCCCCACACCTGATCGTTTCTTGCTCAATACTGAGGTCTGTCACCCCATACGTTTGGATTCACGACGACTATTCGTTGTCTCAATATCCCTTAGAATTTTTTTCGTTCATTCAATATTTCGTTTCAGATTCCAACGCCCACGACAACGACTGTTACTTCACCAGAAGCTATGCAAGAGGGCGAATCGGGGGTCAATAGCGACAATAGTAGCAGTAACACAGCGTCGACGTTCAGTCATATCAGAAACAATGTTCCATTGAATAGTATAGCCAATGAACAAGGTTTGCATTGATCTCGTCGATTCAATAGTGGAGTTGTGAATTGCAAAATTACAGAGACTAAAAGTTTCTAAAGTCGCGTGAGACATCCTTCAATTAAGAACCAAGAGGTTCCTTAATTACACGAGGAGAAATTTTTTAGAAAAATTCTGAAAATTTTACTGGGTGTCAGGCGAATTTTTCTCGCATTTATAAGAAATTTTCACAGAAATGTCCGAAAGTTATACCAGAAATCTTTAAATCTTTATAACTTCTACCAGAATTAAAAAAAAAATCTCTCAGTATAGGAATACCATAATTTCCGAAAAAATGTACATTAATTAAAGTACAATTGATCCTTGATTTCAGTACAAATTTGTGAAACTAGAGCTTTTCTCTCAGAAATTTCTTTTTAACCCAGAATTTTTTATTCTCTGAATTTCAGTTCCGCAACTCAGAGAGTTTTAATGGAAAATAGGAACTTCTTTCCTGTGATTTTGTTGATAATTTGCTTATTTCACCAACAAATTCAAAATTTATTTGATATTCAATCTTTGCCTGTTATGTTTCATAACTTCGCAAATTAAGAACCAATAATCTCTTCAATTGAGAACACCACAATTGCCAAAGATAATTTGCAAAGACAAAAATATCAAATAAAAAGCCACAAGGTTTTGAATTCCCGAACCGAGACTGCCTTGGAATAAGAGAAAATTTCATTTTTGATTTTGTTTTAGATTTTTCATTTGTCCATCCGGTCATCAAATTAAGAATTTGCTCAATATTAAACATTAATATTTAATATTTCAGGACAAAAGTCAATTCCATTACATTCCACAACTTCACTACCGAACGTCTAATCAATCCGCGCCCAAAATTCAAACAATATTTCAATGCAATCCTACCTTTTGCAGTACCTTGTGATGGAGACCTGTTGGATGTAATCGGTGCCTCAGCAATGAATGACTCACCAACACCTCTCACCTCAGATGGCAACGACGAAGCAGCAATGGCAGTGATCATGAGCCTATTAGAGGCAGACGCTGGCCTAGGTGGTCCTGTTGATTTCTCAGGTCTACCCTGGCCCCTCCCCTAATTTGTATGTATGTTGTAAAATCATATGACCCCTGACTGTGTGCTGTGTGACCCTGATAAATAATCAAATAGGGAACAATTTCTTTTAGTACAAATTCAACATAATCTCATTAGTTCTTAAGTTATCAATTTTTGCAAATGAATTTACCAAAGTTGAGTGATATTTTGGTGCGATCAATACCGTAAGAATGGTTTTGTCATTACTTTAGTTAAACTTGAAAATAAGATTTTATTATTAGTTATTTATATTACGTTTATGTACAGATAAAGAATAAGTAATTGAAAAAAAACACGATGCAGGATTCTTGGTGTCGCTGATTTAAGTTTTTAACAATTGTGTCATTCTGTTTCATTTATTTATTCCTTTCATCATTCACTGAATTTCTTCTTGGATTTTTTCTTCGCAGGCGTGTCGTCATCGTCCGAGGCATTCACTTCAGTCTTGATGCTGAAATAATTCTCCTTTTTACTTCTCTTCACCTGTTCACTAGGCTCGCTCTTCCCGACACTCGACTCACGCTTTATCCTGATGTCTACAAACGTATCATTATGTTCACTCGATTTGAGGCTGTCACTTCGCTTACGTTTCCTCGAGGAGATGCTTTCCACGTCCGAGGCGTAAGGCTCTTGCTTAATCTTTATGTTTGTGAAGAACACCGATTCTTCTCTTTTAACTAGTATTCGCGATTTCGTGGAACATGCGTCGCTCAGTTCACCAGTATCTTCAGGTGATAGAGTCGACTTCGAGGATCGTTTCTTCATCTTCTCGGGTTTTGAAGGGGACATACCAAGTGTATCTTCACTCCTCTCTTCTCTCGCTTCTTCACTCTTTGAATCCTTCGACCGTTTTCCTTTCTTCTCCTTCTTCACGATTCCAAATTGCTCAGAGCTTCCGACTTCTTTACGAAGTTGAGGTGTTGTATCATCGAATTCAGGATCACTGTCGTCTTCCACCTGTAGGTTGGCAATTTTTTTAGACGAAACATTCACAGCAATAGATTTCTCCTTCTCCTTCTTGATCTTCACGTAAGCTCCTGGATTGAGCTCTTCCTCAGGTTTTTCAGGTTTCTTCGTTTTCCTCTTCTCCTTCTTAACTTTCTTGAGAATGTCTACGTCACTGCCTTCCTTGTTTTCTATTTTAGCTCTTCTAGATTTCTCTCCCTCTGATTTTATGTGCTCTGCATGCAGCAACATTTGCACCGAATCATCTTGGACTTCGGCGTTTTCCGACGCCTTCTTAGATTTTTTTCTCAGGTGATTGGGGCTCGTGGGGTTTGATGTGGTAGACTGAGGATTTTCTGCTTCCAGATCTACCTCTTGTTCGATTTTTCGAACGAGCATGAACGAGGCAAAATCGTCGTCACTGTCGACATCTTCATTTGTTGAATTACTCTTCTTTTTACTGGGGTTATGTGGCGTGGCATTTGATTCATTATTTGAATTATGGGGGAATACCCTCCCGGTGTCACTGAAACTGTCGTTATTTACTTTGAGTTCTTTCTCCTTTTTTATGGACTTGTTTCTATTCTCTGTTTTACTGTCCTCACTGCTCGATATATCGTGCGCAGGTTTTGCATTTCTCTTTTGCGAATGTTTTTGGGGATTAACTTTTGTTTTTGGATTGGTGGGGTTTGAGGTGCTCTCCGAGCGCTCATTATCCTCACTACTTCTCACTTTTCCATTCACTCTGCTGGTATTTTCAGAATTTTCAGGCTGTGATTCTTTCAATTTCTTAGATTGCTTTTTAATTTTCCTGGAAGACTCGTCGATGCTAACACTATTTTCAGATTCAGAACGTTTTCTCTTGGATTTTCTTGGGGATTCTTGTTTTATAGATTTGTTGAAAATTGGAAGATCATCGTTGGAGTCTTCTGAGCCTTGGGAATACTTTCTGGAAGACTTTTCCGATTTTTTGGGGGGAGATTTGTGGATTGATTTATTGGCCACTGGCACTTCATCATCCGAATCATCGAAAGTAGTCCCGTTCCCACAATTATTCTCATTTTCCAGTAATTTTTGGGACTTCAATTTCTTATCTTTTTCCATTTTGCTAATATTTTTAGATTTGGAAAACGGAACATCATCGTCAGATCCATCCGAATCCTGCTGCACTAATTTCTTCGGAGCCTTCTCAGGGGATGATGATTTTTTGATTAATTTATTGGAAAATGGCACTTCATTATCTGAATCGTCAGAACTAGCAGTTCTCCCGTTAGAATTTTTCCCCCTGTCATTCACAGTTACTTTAAGCTTCTCAGAATTCGAATCTTTCTGAATATTTTTACGATTTCCATTGAAAATGGAAGCATCGTCACCTGAATCATCAGAACTCTGAGCTTTTTTCACTGATTTCTTAGAAATTTTCTCTGGTGATAATGATTTTTTAATTGATTTATCAAAATTGGATGACACATGAGAACTATCAGAGTCCTTTTGAATTCTTCTGGAAGTTTCTTTCTTAACAGATTTATTAGAAAATAGCACTTCTTCATCTGAATCATCAGAACTAGCAGTTCTTCTATTCGAATTTTTCATTCTATCTTTCACTGCTGCTTTAACCTTCACAGAATTGGAATCCTCAACATTTTTAGAATTTTTATTAAAAATCGGGACATCATTCTCTGAATCATCAGAATCCTGCACTCTTTTTGCTGATTTCTTAGAAGTTTTCTCAGGTGATAACGATTTCTCAACTGATTTATCCAATTTGGGTGCCTCATCATCAGACTTCTTTTGAAGTCGAATTCTTTTGCTGCCCTCCGACGTTTTCCTCGCAGTTTTTATAGATTTATTAGAAAATGGCACATCATCATCTGAATCATCAGAACTGTCCACCTGAATTTTTCCTCTACTGGAGCTCTCCCTATTGCCTCTTCCAGCCGTTTTAGGCTTGTCAGCAGCAATCGAATCATCCCCTGAACCCCCAGAACCTCGTCGAGTTTCCCCACTCTTCTTCGACAATTCTTTCTTCCTAGATTTATCAAAAACTGCTGTTTTATTATCCGAATCAGATGAGGAGCTAGACCCTTGAATTTTTCCTATCCTATCGTCAGTAATTGTCTCATCAGCCTCATCAGAATCCACCTGAACCCTCTGGGATATTGGCGACTCCTCTGTTTCTCCGTCAGACTCCGAGCTGTTGTCTTCATTCACTGTTGAAGAAAACTTCGGTTTCTTCGCGTCAATCTTCGATATTTCCCCATTCCCATCTTCATCGCTGTTCGAACCCTCGGAATTCACGTCGTCATTGGTAAATCTGTTGTGTTTCCTCGATTTTTTCGGTGCAGTCTCATCAGCAGGATCACTGCAGAGGGAAAAATATAGATTAAAACCGTTGAATTTTACAATACAAATGCAAAAACTGTTGTTTAATTACCTAGCCACTAATTTCCCTCTGATGAAGGGGAGTTTTCCTCTCCCAGGTTTCAGGTCCATCAATTCAACGGTGAATGTGACCTCGTCCCCAACATTCAGGTGATCACCCTGCCAATCTTCCCCCTCGTCGTCCCTCCTCGGTATCGAGACATTGAAAGCCTTGTGTACCAAGACACCAAGATGATTTGCAGGTTTTTTTATTATGACACCTACAGAAATGTATATCGTCGATAAATAGATCAGAATAATACACCAGATGAGGGAGAATGAGGCAGAATGAACCCTCTTCAATCAGCCATGAGTGACTCCGAAGCTGTAGAGCACAATCAAAATAAACAAGTGGGAAATTGCTTTTATATTAACATATCATTGTTTTATTTGCTAATAAATTAGCAATATGCTTCCAAAAGATCATTTTGTACGTTATCTGCTTCTATAGTATATAATTCATTGTTTCATATCATCTTGTAAATTCAACGAAATTTCTTCTCTCATCAATTGTGTTGTATTTCTAATTTAGTTTAATATTTGATGAAATTTAAAAAAATCGAAATGAAAAATAAACTTCATTCACTTCAGAGTCTGACTGATTGAAAAACTTCATTTTGCCTTGCTCCCTTCATTAATCAATTATTTTACCTTTAAGAACATATCCAACCTTTGGTCTAAACACGTAAAAATCTGCCTCTATGTCAACATGACAAGAGAAAGAATCGTAGAGCATAGCTGCATTTTCTGACAGTAATCTTGGGTTTTTGTAAGACAGAAAAAGCCCATTCAACCTGAAAAATAGAGTAAAAAGAACATTAACACTTCCAATATTTTTAAATATTCATCTCTCATTAATGTTTTAAGGTCTAAAAATCTTAAGATGATTTTTATGAGTTGATGAATGTTGAAAAATTGTGGAAAGTGTTCGGACAGGTTAAAGTACTGTTTCGGATTCGAACAGTTACTCCCTCAGCGATTATTCCATACAGAATAATTACTCAAGGGTAGAAGATGAAGGAAACTGAGAAAAAATAAAATTCTGTAGAATTATGACACGTACTTATCGTCGTAATAATTGAGCTCGTCCCCAAGAATGTCCTGCAGTGACTGTTTCAAGTTGCCCAGTTGACAGGGATGCAGAGCGATGTGTCTCTTCGTCTGTACGAGATGCACATGTGATTTTTCGTCATTAACGAGTGCTGTTAATTCCTCCAACGACCAGGCAATCCTGGCGGTCTTCATGGGCCCCATTGACGTGTGTTTCTTCGTCATCCTCGTGGTTTTTATTTCACTTGGAGCACTGAACACGTTTCAGGCACTGCCATGTGCACGTTTATTTTCACTCGACGAGTCACGAGAGTGCACGAGTATTATCGAAGCTTCATCGAACGACAGAGTCGAATGTTGACGAAGCAACTTCGCGGAAAGCCGGAGATTTGAAGTTTCATTGACAATTAGATGTCAATGGGGTTTCGCATGAAATTTATTTTATTTCCGAATGTGAAAATTGAATGGGAAATCCAATTAGTTTGTAACTTCTTAATTTTTCATGATTTCGCAAAATGACAATGCACGTATTTAACATTTTCCATTCAATTTTCATATTTCATCATTTTTTAACCAATAAGTCATAATAATTGAGCTCATCCCCAATAAGGTCTTGCAGTGAAAATTGAATGGGAAATCCGATTAGTTTGTAACTTTTGTTGACTATTCCACGAGCATTTACTCCAAATGTGAGAATAAATTAATGATTTTGGAACATCCTATCATCATATAAAATCAAAATTTTCCCTCAATTTTCACATGAATTGGTTCTTATTGCATGCGCCAAGCATTTTCATCAAAAAAATTGAGATGATTTCAACCATTCCAACCGTCACATAAAATTAAAGTCGCCATTTTCGTTGAATTCTCCAGAATTTAACGATTCTCCCCTCAACAAAACCCCTCATTTCCATTTCATATTAAATAAACATTCTTCTAAAACCCCAAGTTTCATACAAATTTTCCCCGTCGAAAAATCCACTCATTCCCCTCAAAATTCGACATGAAAATCAAAATCATCGCCACCAAAGTACCTTTATTTACAAATAAACCAAGCAGAAATCAATAACTCACGTATTTCCGAAGGCCCCATCATTCGCACAAGTCCCCTTGCCACATAATCACGCAAAAATACCCGAAATAAACACAAAACATCCGAAATAAACACAAAATATCAGCGACCGTTGTCTCCGAACCGTCGACTGAACAACTGGCGCCACCATTTTTCTTTCGGAAGCGACAGTAACCTTCCAGTAAACCCCCCACATTGGCTCAGTTGGTTGACGAAACGCTCAGTGCCGAATGAAAACAAAAGATTAATTCACCGTACGCATTCCCGTCCCTAATAAGTGATTTTATGAGACATCTCAGGTGTCGTTTACCCTCGAAGTTACGATGGATTACGGTGGAAACGTCAGTGACGCATCTGAGGACATATTCTCCGGTAAATTTCTGCTTCATTCACTCCCCCTGGACCCCCCATGTTTACAAATCTCACGAATCCTCTCCTCTGCACCGTATTTCAGACGATGACGAGCCATCCGACGTCAGCTTCACGAGTCCAGATCCCAAGGTCAACACATCGTTCTTCAATCTATCTCAAACTCCTGTTTTACTCCACCACCAAAGAGAAGAGTAATATATTTCATTGGCATCTTCTTTGATTATCTGATTACGATGGACTTGCTTATTTCTGGTGTATTTAAATATTTCGTAGGACACCAGGCAAACCCATCGTGCCAAAAACCCCCCTGACCCTGGCCCCTTTCATATCAAAGGCTGACGATTGGACCAGTGATATGGAAACACCACAGGGGAAACGAGATCTACCAATGCGCTCGAAAAACGCTGTTCTTGACTCCAATAATGTTGATGATGTGAGTACTTTTGTGTTTGTTGAGAATGTTGAATTGTCTTTCTTACTTAATTATCTACATTTGTGCATCAACGTTAACATAATTGCTGATAAATACTCAATAGTTTTTGAGTTGACAGAGTACCTAGATCTTCATAATAAAACCGTTAAAATGTTTTCGTTAAAAAAATCTATAGTTGTGAACAATTGTTTGTAAACATTGCAAAATGCTATTTTTGACTCCAAAGATATTGACATCATTTTTTTCCTGTCCTAATTATCCAGTTTTATGCATAATGAACGATCCATTCTCCCATTCTAATCCAAATCCATTTAATTAATGTCCTAAAATCACTGATTGATGGTATTATTCAACTCCATATTGATAAATTCAGTTAAATTTGGTGGAATTTAGGAGAAATAATGACTTTATCAATTATTATAATTTTCTCACACATGCTTCACATGATAATGAACGAACAATCAACCCTACCATTAATTAACAAAAAGAATTTAGCGAATTCTCAAGAATTAAGCAAAAGAATTTTTTTATGAAAAAAAATTAACAACTGGAAACAATTTCCCAGCAAACCCTAATGAAAAGATTTTCATTTCCTCAGGACTTGACTCAAACAGCCGAGCCAGTCTTAACCCCAGCGCACCTGAGGACCGACGAAACAAACGAGGAGATAGTGCCCCTCTCCCAGGAGCTGCCCCCCAGAAAAAAGCAAAAGCGTGTACCAAAGAGAAGAATCTTCGATAAAAACAACACAAACTTTCCACCATTGTACGAAGACGACGACTCTGACGAGGTGCCCCAGCACCCCAAAGCGAGGAAGTCTCAATCCCTCATAGTTGCTCCTCAGTCGAAGTCCCCCCTCCAAAAGCTGGAAAAATTGAAAGCCCTCCAGAAGCGAATGCGAGAGAAAAAGGGCCTGGAAACCCTGACAGACGATGCAATCCCTGACGACGAGTTCCTGAGAAGCTGCAGGGACCTGGAGATGTGTGACAGACTCCCCCAGAGGGGCCACATCGAGGCAGCCCCCACAAGGACATCACCCTCAAGGGATTCCACAGAGGAGTCTCCACTCACTCCAACGTGGAAAGACCTCGAGACCCAGCAGCAAGAGACAGTTGCCCAGGCGACAATTACCCAAGAGACAGTTGCCCTGACCCCTCCGACCGCCCTCCAAACCATCAGACAAGACACTTATTCCCAAATTGATCTTGGTATCGATCACATCGAGGAGGAGGACGACGACTACCTGGAAAAAACCTTCACCCTGGAAGGAGAAGAGATCGAGATAAAAAAAGAGATGATAACAATTGAGGAACCAGAGGACGGTTTCAGAGGATTCTCCAAGGCTGAACAAGAGAGCAAAGAGCTCTGGGAATTCCAGCGAATATTTGTGCTGCAGTACGGTGGACTGTCCCCCAAGAAACTAAACTTCCCAGGGTTCTCCTTCGTGGAGGAAGAAATAGCCAAAACAATCTCCCAGAACAACGACATATTCCTGAACAATTATCTGGAGAAATACTACGGAATTAGGAAGCAGGTGGATCCCCTGGTGATAACAATTGACACTGAGTCAGAGGAGTCTCAGCCCACTGAGGAAATCGTTCCCCAGCTGCAGTTGCTTCCACCACTGCTCATGCCAGTCTATTCTGGCTTCGACACAGCAAGTGGAAACAAATTATTCATCTCTGTGGATAAAATCTTCGAGGAGAAGACGAAGCTCCAGAGGGACGAGCCCACTGAGATGCACAGTATTGACTTGTTGATGAATAATCAAGCCTCAACGAAAGTACAAACTAGTATTTATCGAGATAAAGAAAGTGTACAGATATTAGAGGATAAATCTAGAGAATTAATTAAGCCCAGTGATAAATCTGCAGACGAAAAGAGGTCTACAGCTGATGAAAATATAGAAGATAATGTTACGAATAGAGATACATCGTTAATTACTAGTGAAAAATGTGATAAAATAGTGCCTCCACCACTTAAAATAGTGGAATCTGTTTCAAAAGGGGTTGAACAACCTCATAAAGACGATTTTCCTGGCTGTGTTGGGTTCCAAACCCTTGGGAAAACCTCTAATAAACCTGAAGAACCCTCCAGAGTCGACAATCTATTTATTGACACCTCCAGCAAGGATTACACAGATTGTCTGAACGAAATATCGAATTTGAAGAAGAAACGACGATCTCTTCGCCTGAACAGAGTGGAATCAGCTCCAAAATCCTCGCCAATGACTAAAGCAACAATTGTCAATCAAAGTTCAAACGACAACTGTGATCCCAAGCCCTCGAGGACTTCCCCATCTCCACGAGTACCTGACCCACATGACGAACGACAGATGAACCCCGAAGTCCCACGAGACATGACCCCAGGATGTGAAAATAATTCAATTCCTCCTGCACCAGTCGATTCTCCACAATTGAGAAATACTAATTATTCACCAGTGCCCATTGATCCACAGCCTAATGGCCAATTTCCTGGATTTGTAACAGGAACTGGTAGAACAGTGGAGATATCGGAGAAGGCTTGGTCCATGGGCCTGGCGATGTTTGGTCAAGCTGGAAAGGAGGTCGCGGGTGACGCAGAGCCATCAGCACCTGTAGAATCGACTCTAAAAAAGTTGAATTCCGTGGTGGACAAGCCATTCACACCATTGAGACCTCCAGATATGCAAAACCCTGCTGCTACTTCAAAATCATCAGCATTCCCATCTAAGCCATCAACTGCCGTGAATATCGCAGAATCAGAGTGTCAGTCGACTCCGAATACCTCAAATCCAATAGTGGGATTTAAAACTGGGAGTGGTGCCCCCATAAACCTCTCAGAGGCTGCCCAGACCAAAATAAAAGTCTCAATGCAAGAATTCTCACTAAATTTAGAGGACGAAGACCCTGATCTCCTGGAGCTATCGAGTATGAAGAGGAAAATGTGGGCTCGAAGGAGAGAAACGACTGAAAAAATCCCTCTGAAGAAGTCCACAGGTCCCCCACTGATAGCCAAACCCTTCACACTGCTGAACACGAAGAAACCAGAGACTACTTCAACGTCAAGTACCTTCGTCTCAATGCAAGAATTCTCACCAAATTTAGAGGATGAAGACCCTGATCTCCTGGAGCTATCGAGTATGAAGAGGAAAATGTGGGCTCGAAGGAGAGAAACGACTGAAAAAATCCCTCTGAAGAAGTCCACAGGTCCCCCACTGATAGCCAAACCCTTCACACTGCTGAACACGAAGAAACCAGAGACTACTTCAACGTCAAGTACCTTCGTCTCAATGCAAGAATTCTCACCAAATTTAGAGGATGAAGACCCTGATCTCCTGGAGCTATCGAGTATGAAGAGGAAAATGTGGGCTCGAAGGAGAGAAACGACTGAAAAAATCCCTCTGAAGAAGTCCACAGGTCCCCCACTGATAGCCAAACCCTTCACACTGCTGAACACGAAGAAACCAGAGACTACTTCAACGTCAAGTACCTTCGTCTCAATGCAAGAATTCTCACCAAATTTAGAGGATGAAGACCCTGATCTCCTGGAGCTATCGAGTATGAAGAGGAAAATGTGGGCTCGAAGGAGAGAAACGACTGAAAAAATCCCTCTGAAGAAGTCCACAGGTCCCCCACTGATAGCCAAACCCTTCACACTGCTGAACACGAAGAAACCAGAGACTACTTCAACGTCAAGTACCTTCGTCTCAATGCAAGAATTCTCACCAAATTTAGAGGATGAAGACCCTGATCTCCTGGAGCTATCGAGTATGAAGAGGAAAATGTGGGCTCGAAGGAGAGAAACGACTGAAAAAATCCCTCTGAAGAAGTCCACAGGTCCCCCACTGATAGCCAAACCCTTCACACTGCTGAACACGAAGAAACCAGAGACTACTTCAACGTCAAGTACCTTCGTCTCAATGCAAGAATTCTCACCAAATTTAGAGGATGAAGACCCTGATCTCCTGGAGCTATCGAGTATGAAGAGGAAAATGTGGGCTCGAAGGAGAGAAACGACTGAAAAAATCCCTCTGAAGAAGTCCACAGGTCCTCCACTGATAGCCAAACCCTTCACACTGCTGAACACGAAGAAACCAGAGACTACTTCAACATCAAGTACCTTCGTCCCAGCATTGGGGTTCACAACGGCTGGTGGTGGGGCGATAAAACTCTCAGAGGCTGCCCTGGAGCAGATGAAAGCAGGCTTGGAAGCCTACACAGCAGACGTCCACGAGAACGACCTCGATTTTTCAGACTTGAAGAAGAAAGTCTCGACTGTTCAACGTAAAAAGCTAGATCCCAGTGGAGATGATTCGAAAACTTCAAGAGGTGCAGAATTACCTCCGAAGAGGACAAGTCTCCCCTTCATTTCGAAGCCCTTCACCCCTCTCAACGTGAGGAGACCAGAGATTCGCCCCAACTCGACCCCAATCACATTAAAGTCAACCTGTGGTTTCACAACAGCTGGTGGAGGTGGAATAAACCTCTCAGAAGCTGTCCAGCGAAAAATTCAAGCTGACTTAAAGGCATACAATACAGAAGTCGACGAGAATGAGCCAGTGGTAAAAAATAATTCCACAAATTCTCGAAATGAAAACCCCCCAGACTCAGCAAAACGAAAGAATCCTTCGGATGATGTAACTCCATTCGGTAGAAAGAGGGCAAGGACAGCAGGCACTGACCTCCAGGCTCGTATTTTATTCCACGAGATTAACGAAGAAGACGACGAGATAATCCAGTCGTCCTTGGCACTCGAAAATAATCGCGATACGGAAAACGACAGAATTTTACCCTTCAAAAATACCGTTTCCGAGGAAATGAGAGCGAGCTGCGAGCGTCCATCAAGCAGATGGTCCGACAGCTCGTACCTCCCGTCCACCAGTTCTCGTCCCATCGAGAGGAGGCCCTACTCCTTCCCCACAAATCCATCAACCGAAAAATCAAAAACTGATAAAAAACTCACGAATCAAGAGTTGATCCCCGACGACGTAGTCTTCGACAGTCAGGAGTTTCTCGAGTCCTACGAGAAAATCTCCACGAAGATAAAGCTGAACGAGGCGCTGGAGAGGAAAAGAAACGAGGCGATTGCTAAACAAGAGAACCTGATTGAAGCAAAGAGGAAAAATAGAGCGAGGCAAAATCCTGGTTCTCTGGTCCAGATAAAAGAGAAAGACAAGTCCCTGATGATTTCTCTGGAGCAATTGTGTTTTCCAGGAACGTCGCTAGCCCCTCGGGACCCCCGGGAATTCCCACGTCTGAAGATCGACCCAGCGGTGGCCACACTGACCTCCTCCACATCTGAAAACTACCAGTTCAACCTGGAGGAAATTTACAGAAATGTCAGTAGAACCTGTGTCGAGGGGATATCAGTGGGGGACGGTGCCCTGTTGATCCCAAACGAGCACAACTTGGCAGGAATAACCGAGTTCAAACGGAGTTTTCTGGCCTCCCCAGGAGTGGACCCCACCCTCCTCCCCGACAACTGGGTGGAGAACCACTACAAGTGGATAGTCTGGAAGCTAGGCTCGATGGATCGTCTGAAATTCACGAGACTAGCCCCCCCGAAGTGCCTGACCCCAGACAGAGTCCTGAAGCAATTGAAATACAGATACGACCGAGAGATCGATCGTGCAGAGCGTCCAGTTATCCGACGGATCCTGGAGAAGGACGATGCCCCCTCGCGTCGCATGATCTTGTGCGTCTCTCGAATAAAAAGAACAACGATGAACAAGGAGACAACAATATCGATGGAATTGACCGATGGCTGGTACTCAGTGGTCGCAGCCTTGGACACACCGATGATAAACAACATTCTCTCTGGAAAAATAAAGGAGGGAACAAAATTAATGACTTACGGCTCTCAATTGATGAACATTGAGGAGGGCTGCCATCCCCTGGAGGCCCCCTCCACCATTCTTTTGAAAATTAACACAAATTCAACGAGACGAGTCAAGTGGTACACTAAACTGGGCCTCCAAAAATACAGTGGCCCCATGGAACTATCCCTGAGGCACATTCACCCAAACGGTGGTCTAATTGGCAAAGTGTCAGCAGTTGTATCTCGTATCTATCCAATTATCTACCGCGAAACAACATCAGATGGTCAAGTGATATTTCGCAATGCTAGGAGCGAGGAGAGAGCCCAAATGTCCTTCACCAAAAACCGTGACTCTGTATCCACCTCATCAACACTCAGGGATGTGAGACCTTGTTTGAAGATAAGAATAACGGATGGTTGTGCACATGGAGTCGTTACAATCTGGCAGAATGCCGAGGAATGCAGTGAGATGTTCAAAGAAGGTAATTCGATCTCGATAATTCATGGAATAGCGTCAGGCAAACGATCCAGTGAACTGCAGATCAATGCCACTAGGTGGACGACATTTGATGTGAGAATGTGTGGAAAAAAATTCTCCTTTCCGGAGAGAATTTTCACACCGCTGTCTGACACAATGACCCAGGGATTTTCGCCTAATTATGGGGAGTTTGATACTGTTGGTATTGTTGTTTCAATTGGGCCAGCTCCCCATGGAATGAAGAATTTTGAGACTGTTTATTTGGCGTATCGAAGTGAAAAGGGAGAGGACAGCTTTCTGTCGATTCTATTCTGGGAGGGAGTTGTGGCGTATGGATATTCTGATATAGCGACTATTGGGTCAATTGTTTGTTGTATCAATTGCGAGTGGAGGAGAAATACTTATCGGAGTATTCCCACGGCATTCTGCTCGGAGAGGACCATCATTACACGTAATCCTAGACAAGGCAGTCATCTGAGGAGTGAGTTTGATGGGCTCAGGCATCGAATTGGGGACACTTCGAATTACGTTGATGATTGTGCAGCGAGAATTCACGCGGAGGTGATGAAAAAATCGGGGTCGGTGTCGGTTACACCTGGAAGGAGTGTTGAGGTAACACCTAGGGACAGGAGGAGCACCGCTATTAAGGGGAGGCTGGAGAAACTACAGGGGTATGAACCCATGCCCAAACTATCGCCGATCAATCTCGCGGGGAGCTCGAGGGTATCTCTCGACTTCAAGTCGCCATTGGCGAGATCCAACAGGACTGAGTCGGGGGGGAGGAGGTGATGGTTGAGGTGTGAGGATAGTTTTTTTGTTTTTGTATATTTTTGAGTGAAGCGTTTGGAGAAAATAAAATGATGTTCAGTTCCTGGAGATATGTTTTTTTCTTCTTTTCATTAGGTACTGGCGAGGGGGAATAGAGAAATTAATGAGGCAGGCATAATAATGGGAATTTAATGTTGAAGAGTCGGGAGGCCAATTAAATTATAGAATCTATTCTGGGAAAAAAGAATTGATGGGATTGATTGAAATTTTTTGGGCGACATTAAAAAAAGTTCTTTAATAGGGTATGATTTTTTTTCCGAGATTTCGTTTTCAAAATCTTGAATATGATTAGGCAGTGGCTATTCACACGCTCCACGGTAATTTTGACCGTGGATATACGGGATGTTTTCCCGTGGATTCAAGCTAATTTCTACCGTGGATATATGGGAGATCGTGGACCCTCAACTTTTACTTCTCAAATTAAATCTAGACAATAAACTAGACACATCGAATCAATTAATAAGTGATATGGAGATAGTAGAGGAGTAAACAATTTTCTCGAATATGAATATCAGTATAGATTAACGCAAATAAAAAATGAAATAAATAATTGACTAAACGTGAATAAAAGATGAAATGAATAGTTTTTTACATTTTATGTGAACGTTTTCTTAACGATATTCTAATGGGATCCGAGCGCAGGAGTGGGTGCCGAAATATAGTTCAAATGATTTTAAGGGTGATGTCCCAACCAGGAGAGANTTGAAAAGCGCAATTGTGACAACATTTTCCAGTGGGTTCTAGGAGTCTCCCCTGGTTCAACACCATCTTTAGAGGTCCTAGCACGCCATTTCTCGACCCGCTCTTTCATTTGAGCCCAAAAAAAACATTCATATCTTGTCTGACATCGTTGCTACAAAGNGAAATGAATAGTTTTTTACATTTTATGTGAACGTTTTCTTAACGATATTCTAATGGGATCCGAGCGCAGGAGTGGGTGCCGAAATATAGTTCAAATGATTTTAAGGGTGATGTCCCAACCAGGAGAGACTCCTACCAGAGTTGTGCCAACATTGCCCAGTCGGATCTAGGAGTCTCCCCTGGTTAAAAAATTATCCTTAGAGAGATTTGCACGCCATTTCTCGACCCGCTCTTTCATTTGAGCCCAAAAAAAACATTCATATCTTGTCTGACATCGTTGCTACAAAGTCGGGTCTACAACTCGGGCTTTCCATTGAAGGCCCGAGTTGAAGACCCGAGTTTGTAGCTTTCAATTGAAGGCCCGAGTTGAAAACCCGAGTTTGTAGCAGAGATGTCAGACAAGATATGAATGTTTTTTTGGGCTCAAATGAAAGAGCGGGTCGAGAAATGGCGTGCTAGGGCCTCTAAAGATGGTTTTGAATCCGGGGAGACTTCTAGACCCCAATGTTCTATACATACTCCTAGACCCCATTGGCCTCCTAGACAATGTTGTGACAACTCTGCT